GTGTACTTACAAAAGATGGTATTGAGCGGTGTCAAAGGCGGTCTAAAACTGGTAAGAGCTAGTCCCAATTAGGCGATAAAACCATTAAAATCAGGCATCCGACTGTTGGCCGCTATACACCTTCGTAACTAGTTAGGAAATCGGAAGCGGAACTGGAGCAAAAAGACGTCACGTACAACTCTAATTGTGTCAAGCTTATCTAATCTTAAGCGCGAAGTCTAACTATGTAATTAATGCTGAAGCATTCCTTTCAAGACTAGCTTTGAGAGGCTATATTTCATTGCCCTTTGCGGTTGACGTCTTCTGATAACACGGTTACTTTCACTCTGTGTTGAGGACCCGCAAACACGGTTGTATTATCCGTGGCTCCTATCTCTTTCCCAAATACTACCTTGAAATAAGCGAGATTGATTTCCCACTATCACTGACGCTGTACGGGGTACGGGGTACAAGTGTGCATGAGAGTCTGAGCGCCTGCCGTCATAATAGTCTGAGCGCTTGCAATGCTGTGGATAGCTGCAGATGCTGAATATCACTTCCTAAAGTAGAGAGGTAATCGGCGTTTTGTCTGTAATGATTGGCCTGCGCAACAACGATATAGTTGCGATGGAGGCTTATGATGTAGTGAGGGGTGAATTAACTTTGGTGGCAACAGAGTGGAGGTGGTCTACGGTGTAGTACATCCGGTAGCCGAATTAGGCCGTATATCAAATTAACCTTGGAACCATTATTATTTATTACGTATGTAAATTACAGACCCGCCAACCAGACCCTGGCACTTTTACTTCAACTACCGTTTACTATTTTGGACCCTCTTATGATTTCCTATTTTAACCACACGCTCACCTATATAGCTGCAGGGCTTGATGGGCTTCATTTGTTGTTGAGGTGCAAATGGTAGGTTATTTAGGAATGAAGAGTGCTTCTGTTTAGAGTATCATGCTAGCCTGTCACTTGCTGCCACTTAGATTCCAGGACGATGGATGGAAGGATAAGAAGCCTGACAGGATTAGGAACTTCCCCCCAGTGGAAGATGTGGTATCAATGCGCTTCTGTAAGGCCTCGGAATACGCTTGCATAGCTTAGACTTCCAGTCTCACTGACGGAGTTGACTTCAGCAAACCATCTTTGCGGATATGACAGCGTTATTGAACGTACGTAGATGCATCTCATAGGTGATCATATTGCCTAAACAACATTGGGCACTCTAGTTATATTGCTGCTTTCTTCGGAGAATGATACAGCGAGAAGAACTTGTCTTTGCTTCTCCGTGCAATAAGTAGATTCCACCGTGCACTGGAGTCATCGCTGTTTGATATGTCTTCCCTTGTAGCAAAGAAATGTTCCAAAAATACATAGTATCCTCAGACAATGCATTTAAAGAGCTAGCCTGAGCAGATATTTCATGATTGAATTAATCAGTAGTTCAATACCCAGGCGACACACCTCCATTGAGCATCATCTGGGCGCAGTCCTGGTGCTCAAGTCCATCCACCGGGTAAGAGTGAGGCTTGCATGATTTTCATCCAGGGTTCGTATCTCCAACTTCCAAGAGATTACATTTATCACAACTCCCTTGGTCGGCTTGTTTCGGTATGCTTGTGCTAGAGCAATAACACTCAATTTGAGAGGTGAAGATGTCGATAAAGCCCAGGTCACTAATCATGGGCCCATTTTCGCGGTACGTGTTACTACGGCTCTTTCATGCGTTCACAAGCACAGGCCCGGAGACATGGAGCAAATTCGAGCTTCAGCAGAATATTGTCATCATAACATCTTTCGGGGGATCTTTTTCTGATGTTTTGTTGACGAGGGATTGTAACCAGGGCGGGGCTCAGGATCAGATTCGACCAGCTCCTATCTCCGTATAGAGCAATGACTGAACGGGGATTCCGAAACCGGTCCTTAGTAAAACCCTCTCATCACAAGCTGAAGATTGAACGAAATGGAAAGGTAGAGGTCTTTGAAGGTACCGATATTTCAGATTAGTAGAGTGACTTGGTAGCTTAGTGCTTTTCCACAAATAAAGTCGGAGGCAGATGAAGCAGAGATGGTATTGCGGTAGGTCGTAAGAAAGCCGAAATAGCAGCTTGATATCTGCGTCATTTCCGGTGCGGCCGTTCGAGAAGTTCCAAAAATCAATCCTAGCAAAAGGAATACAGCAGATGATGATTGCCTAATATCAGACAAGCAAGGTCGACTGGTGATAAGTGCTCAGAGATCATCTATAATAGCTAGAAGGTCGGTCAAGGCTGGTGGCTTTCGCGTGGCCATCCTGTTGCGAAAGGTATCCCCTGTGCCCCTGGCTGACTTTTGCTTCACTTGTTATCTGACGTGTCAGACTGAACGGCTTAGTCGTAGGCAGCTTCCATGGCCTTTGAAGTATCATCCGAATTTCTTGACCTTGTAATCCGGATAGTTAGTTAACTAATTCCCAAGCGAGCTGCGCAGCGCAGAACACATAGTAAAATCGGTAAATTATAATGTGGTATTTTAACAACCAACGCTTTTGTTTAATTTCATTACTGTCCGATAGCAATTGATAAGCATTGGGCTAGAAGGAAAAGCTCATATAGATAACCGTTGTTGAGATATCATGTTGTAATCTATCGCTTTTACTATGTGTTCTGCGCTGCGCAGCTCGCTTGGGTGCGCAGCTCGCTTGGGAATTACGTTAGTTACATTGGGTGATTGCTTACTAACTGGAAGTACGATCCATTTGAGTAATCACACCTCGGACCTCGGGAGCAGGACCCTAAGCGGCGGCACCCCGATCGGGAAACTGACATCCGTGGTCAATTGCTATAGATATCCAAAATTCATGGCTATAGATTTCACAATTCTAGCATTTTAAACTACTTCTACTTGGACTCTTGAGGCACACTTTGATACACAGCACAAGCCATATGATGTCATAATGCGTCAGTTCCTCAGAAGTGGGGCTGAAATAAATTATTTCCACTTTCAATTTTTGTCTGCGCGGGTCGTCCCGCTACGTGACCGCGTCGGGTCTAGGGTGGTTCTGGTTACATACCGCACATTTCCCGGGTATTTTGAAATACGTAACGTCTGTATCTGTTTACACTAGTATTTTTTAGAATACAATTATACAACGTTGGAGTTTGCCACTCTGCTCTGACTGATGGGATATCTCCCGGCTGGGACTCTGATTGGAACCTATGCTTATACTAGCGGGTAGTAGCGGGTGTTTAACAGTATAGACGTTGCACTTAATCTGAATGTCATCTTTCTCATAGTCAACCTTGACATTATATGTGATAATCATGCCCTATGTCGTGTCACCATTGCCCCTGACTTGATCTGCCCTGACAATATAGCATCGATCGTCCTTGGCACTGGTATAGGGCTGTTCTCGGTCAAAATAGAACCCCATTGTAGATTTACGAATAATCGACAACTTTCGAGGCTCAAGTGATATCCCACTTCGGTACTTGACCTTCTCGCAGTGTCTGACCTAAATCTAGGTTGTCATGCCAATGATAATCGTTACTTCAAAGATATTAAAAGCCAATATCCCTGCAATGTTTTACTACATTGTCCTCTATTTAAACTTAATTCGGGATCTCTATGGCCATAATAACCACAATAAAAAGCAGAGCTATACCTGTTTACCTTTGCAGTTCTGTTAAGGTGGCACATCGACCATTGTCTGTGAAACACCAACCTCTTGATAGAAATAGTTCTGTTCTTCCGAGAGTAGTAGAGGGCTGGTTTTGAGTTGATCCCCGGATATCAGGTCTTTTACTACAGTCTACGGCATGACCCTGCTGAATGAAACCCCCCGATGTTAAGTAAACGGCCTTTGTTTGCATCCAATTTAGTATATGAACTAAATTCAGACTGTCTCACTTAGGTTGTACACCGATGGTTGCCGGTACACCTAGTTTAAGGTTCTATTCGAGTCACACATGGAGGTGTAGTGTCCAAATTATATCCCAGGAGTGGTGCCTTCCAGGGTTGTCAAGTAGCTCACTATAGCCGTAAACGGCAGTCGTGACTTCCTTGTATGTTTGCCCTAAATATGGACAGCACGTGTTCCCCCCGTTCCTTCCTGAACAGCTGGGGACTTTGTTTACTATTTCTTCCTCCAGTTTCCTCTTTCTTTTCTCCTCTGTTCTCTCCTCTTCCACTTTACGTTCGTTCCCCTTGTTCCTCAATTGACCCTCGATTGCTTGGTTGTTCCATCAAGTGATCACTTCACATTCGTTTATCAACCTCCATATTCGCCAAGATGGTAGCTTGGATGCGTTTCAAGTTGCTTCTGGCTATGGTCACCGCTCTGGTGACTATGGCTGCTGCTTCGGCTGGTAATTATCATGGCTGATAATTACTCTATGATCACTTACTGACCTTGTTGCAACAGAATGCCAATACATCGAGACGGTCTTTCTTCAGGACCCCCACACTGGGGAGCAGTATCAGTTTGGTGAAGGCAAGTCAAACCTGCTATCTGGGCTTGCCTAGAAATATGCCGTTACTGATCGATTTTCACAGTCAACGTTCTGCCTCGGGCCTTGTTTGGTCGTGCTATTCAAGCTTCTGAACTGAGTAAATCCAGGCTCTTGCCATCCTCGCCTCTTTTCTAGACCAAAAACTAACTTGGTACTAGTCACTGTCACGGTTACCCATACCACCTGCGATCCTGATGAATCGACCACAACTGTCACCACAGATGTTCCTTGTACGACTGTCCAGTCTACCACACTTCTCACCACGGAGATTACTCCAGTCCCCGCTCAAAGTACCCCTGCTCCTGGTGTTCCTCAGTCTACTGTGCCTACCACCTCGTCAACTCCGGTGCCTGTTAACACTCAGACTTCCGTGCCTATTGTCCCTAGCGCTACAAGGGTGACCACCAAGTCTTCTGCACCTGGCACCACTTTGGTGACCTCGCAGTCTTCATTACCCGGGACCGCTCAGACCCCAGTGCCCAGTACTACCAAGGTGCCCATTGGAAGCAGCCCTGTAACAAACCCTGGATCCTCCACGGTTACTGCCACTACCACTGAGTCGGTTTCTTCTTCCAGTCCTAATGCTACCAGCTTGGCTCCTATCCCTGTCACTACCGAGATCCCTGGAACTACTGGGTCCATTACATCCACTCGTCCTACCAATGTGGTTCCTATCCCTGGTACTACTGGAATTGCTTACACAAACTCAACTGTTCCTCAGGCTCCCAGGACGGTGACTGATGTGACCACCTTTTACACTACGTCTTCTTGCCTCAACTCAACTGAGCTGGCCCCTGCTCCGGTGACCACTGAAATCACCATTACCGTTGAAGTTCCTTGCACCGAGACCACCAAGTGTGTCAGCACCAAGGTCCTTACCACCGGCACCCTGCCGGCCTTGAACACAACCGTTCCTGCTTCCATCCCACGGACCACTACGACCACCGAGATTCAGTCGACCATTTCTGTCCCTGTCCCGATTACCACTGAGGAGGTCACTGGCACGGTCGAGATCCCTTGTACCGGGACCACCAAATGCACCAGTACTAAGGTGTACACCACCATCCCTACGGAGACTACCACTATCTCTGTGACTCCAGTCCCGATTACAGCTCCACAGCCCACCACTGAGGTGGTGACTATGGTCCAGCCGACTGTTCCTGGTGCCCCTGCAAAGGAGACCACCGAGGTTGTGACTACTGTGATTCAGCCCACTGCTCCTGCTCCCGTTTCGCAGGGCACCACCGAGCTTGTGACCACTGTGAACCAGCCCTCTGTTCCTGCTCCTGTTCCCCAGACTTCTACTCACGAGGTGACTACCGAGATCAAGCCGACTGACTTGGTCCCACTTCCGCACGCCACCACTGTCGAGGCTACTTCTCTGGTCAAGGTTCCTGCTCCTTCTACGCAGCCGGCTACCACCCAAGAGACCACCGAAAATCAACCAGTCGCTGCGGCCCCGACCACTCTAGCTACTTCTACTGTCTCTAAGCCTGAGGTTGAGAGTACCACAACCGAGTCCAAGATTTCGGTTGTGTCTCCCCAACAGCCTACTCACACCCAGGAGGATACTGTCCTCCCATCTCCTCATGGCACTTCTTCCAGTGGTACTCACTCCGCTTCCCCTGTTTTCAACGGTGCCAATGCCGCTGCAATCATGGACAGCCGTGTCTTTGCCATGAGCATTGTGATTATGCTCTCTCACATCTTTCGCTTGATTCTGTGAGAACGACATACACTCTTACCGTGTGACGAGGCAAGTCCAGCCATCTTCTGATGTAGCAAGGATAGTATCTGATGCGATGACTGTGTTCGTGATGGAATTTGAGGAACCCATGGTGTTGATGGGTGGTCGTGTGTTTTTATGGGATGCAACTGGCTCCCCTTAATCTTGCAAATTTTATCAGTCACTCATATTCTAGTTGAAGCATAGCTTTCCTAATCTCACAAATGTTCACCATGGTTGTGTCTAATGATAAAGAAAGTATCCTGTAGTCTGTAATCTGCAACCGAATGGCAACTCCAAGGGACAACATAGCTGACCGAACAGTATTCGGGCAGTTATATTTCGGCTGTGAAATAATCACAATGTACAGAACGTAATACGTATGCTGTGAGCATCAAAGCATTGAACATAACACATCTTTATCAATAAACAACGGCCAGTGTGATAACCTCACAGAATGGATGAATGCCTAATATCCCCAAATGGGGATAGTAGCTTGGCTAAAGCCAGGGTATCTCAGAGAAACAAGGAGAATGCATAGGTATGTGCACATGGAGTATACACACAGGACAGACGTGAATGGGTACAGATGTCCCTACCCCAGTAGAGTTCAAACCTCAACCTCACCACCAAGAGATTCAATGTCTCGCGTCAGAGCACAAATCCGACATCCATCGCCAATCTTGTCCCGCAGGATTCTTGCCGTCGTGACCTTGGGGCCAACACTGCGAGATGCAGTGGCAGACCGGGTCTCGTCGACTGGAGACATGGCCCGGGGTGTAAGATCAGCAGATCGGTCACGGCTGTTTGCGCCGGATTGTTGTGGCGTGTCTGAGTGCAAGTGGGATAGATGGAAAATGTGGCCACAAGCAAAGCCAACGAGAATTTCTCGCTCTGTATGGGGGTTCTTATCAGCATTGTCTTTTTGGATGAAAGGAGTTGGGGTCAAAATCATACCGTTTTCCCGGAAGGCGGCTTTGCAGCCGCCACATCTTCCCTGTCCAGGGCCTCCGAATTTTCTCGCACCATTGGTTTCAGATATATGATCTTGAGCTGGGGCATTCATTGTCGTTGCCTTCTTGGAATCTTCCTCGCCAACCTCGGTGACATCAAACTTGATTCCCCGCCGCTGACCTTTGCGCAGCGAGTCCATCCCAAGTGCAACTTCGCTTTGCATAACCCTAGCCGCGCCTTGACTGATACTAGCCTGCAGATCATGCTCACGGATCAAGCGGGTGAGGCCCTCTCTTAGACCTTCAATCTCTAGCCCGCTCGGGATACGACGCACAAGCTTTATCGGGTCGATGGCCGTCCCGGCCTCAACGAGAAGACCATGGATGAACTTTGGCTTGTCCATGGAGTAGTCAAGCAGATCCTCCCACAGATCAGGATCGTCCTGTGATTTTGCAAATGAAATGGCCTGTGAAACATCCTTGAGATCCGATAGAATCAGGTTCAAGGCTCGCTTTGTCTGGCCCATCTTGGACAAGAGAAAAATCAACTCTGGCGTGAATCTGTGGTTTTCGCAGATCGATGTGGCTTTCTCGAACGAATAGGATATGCTTGTTTGGAGGAACTCCATCAGTAGAGGTCGGTCGTAGTCGGCAAATACCTCAACAGCCGTATCAGCAAAGTTATCAATCAGGGCTTTGCCTTCATCAGCAGCAAGCTTGCTGGCTGCATCCCGAGCATGCGTTCCACGTCCTCTTCTGGGTTTATGAGCGTCCTGCGGTAATGATTCACCTCGCCAGAGCGCACGGAGATAGAAATAAAGGAACAGGAACCGGTCCGCGGCGACCAACTGTGATACCACGGTATCTGGAGGAACAATGCCCGTGTATGCTTCCCTTACGAGGAGTCGCGTGGGCTCAGAAGTCAGCTCCTCCAGTTCGAATTTTGTGGCGGACTTCATTTGCTCTTTGGAAACGCGAATCATGATGAAGGCCGGTATATCATCAGAGACTGCGTCGAGCAATCGGTGTTCCCGAACCAAAGACATCGCAGCATCTCCATCTTGCAATCGAATGTAGCAACGCAAGGCTTCGCGGTAATGCCCTCCTGCTAGGAACAACTTGGCGAGGCAATCTGTGAGGATTCGCCATTCCTCAGAACCGGCGCGTACCGATCCGGATTTCAGCTGTGCTTCGATGGATTCCGTGATCACATTCGCATCAAACAAATCGGATGGCCATGTTCCGACCAGTTCTTTGAATTTGACCAAATCTCGTGACACGTAGTGAGTGAGAATGACTTCGTAGATCTGACAAGACAACGATGGATGTAAATCGACTGGAATTTTTGGAGTTATCTCATCAATTTTATCCTTTTTGATAAAGACCCACGCCCAGTGTTCCCATTGTGAGGCATTGCGAATGACTTTGCCACAAATACTCGCAGCATGAATCCACTTCTCTTCGCTGACAAGTTGGTTGATCCAGAGTTCCCCAAGGCGAGCTTTTTCTTGTTCGGCAGCCGAAACTTTTCTTCTACCAGCGGTCGTCATGGATGATCGATCATCAGCGAAGAAGTCACCTAAACTAGTTTGCGACCTTGCAGCCTCGGACATAACGTCGGCTAAGTCAGGTATTGAGCCTGCAGCTTCGGGATGTTCATCGACGAGACGCCATGCGTCCTCGTACTGGCCATGAGAATCAAGCCAGGACAAACGGTCCGCAAGATCCCGTTTTACTGCAACAACACAGTCATATGGGCTGTGGACAAAGATTTTGGCACCAGGAGCACCTGAAACTTCCTGTACCTCCTTCGGAAGGGGCTCCTCAGTCGCGTAGATTTTGGACATGAAAGAGGGAGCAAATCTACCAGATCCCTTGTCCCCACTACTTGTGGTACTGCGGATACTGGCGCCGGAGCTGAAAAGCCGCGCAGAGTACATAGTAGCATCCAAAATCCCATGCCCAAGAGCCCCGAGGGCACCGCGCTGGACGACCTGTCCCTCTGGGGTCTTCCACGGAGGCAAGACACTTAGATGATAATCAGATGCCGAGAGACCCTCAAAGCGGTTTACTGAAAGCGTATCAGCGCTAATTTCTTCCTTGGTCTCAATGTCAATGACACGAAGTTCAGGTTCCAGGCCCTTTTTTCGATTGCGGGTCCCACTGCCTCCTCCATTACTTGCAGTTTCGCCTTCGGTCTCCAAATATGCAAGAATGACAAGAAGACGAGGCGTATACAATGAGATGCCAGATACCACGCAGTCTGTTCGTAATCTGTGTTCAAAGTTAGCGATGAACGATACAATCTGTGAGAGTTCCAGCTCACATTGTAACAACCTCTGCAGAGCCCAATTTCTCTCCCTTGGATGTTTTGCTTGCCCTTTCGGGGTAGACATCAATGACCCAAACAGTTCCTCCCCACCCGACGACAAGCTTTTCCACTTTCTCAGTGGGCACCGTCGACTGTACCTCTGGACTTGCTGGACAGTCATTTGGATCGAGATGGTCCCGAATGTCCAGAGCGGACTGGTCGATCCATTCAGCACGTGCCTTCCAAACATTGGCCATTTCGTCCCAGCCGGGACGATTTGGACGATCAATATGGCTGATTCGTTTCCAGGCAAATTCTGTCTCTGAAGAATCTAGATGTAAATTTGACCGCATAATCTTAATGCCTTCCTCGTTGACCCAGGCCACGTAATTTCCTGACAATGACCATTTAATTGTGCTTATAGTCCCTTCGCCGCTGTGGATAATCGTGTCTTTTCCACTAGTGGCTGCTAGGCCCATGGATCCAAGCCAACTTGACGCCGTTGCGGCTGCACCCCCCATTGTTGTAGAATTGGAGGTCGCCCCAATACGACCACCAGTTGTCAAGACCAATTCACCTGCTCGGCCACCAGACAGGAATGCCCGGTCATTCTTGTATTCGGGAGACAAAGCAATAGACTGGACTGGGCGGCCAAAATTACGCAATAGCACATCCTTCGGGTCTACTAGCGATGAGACGCACACGTGGCCATCGATTGAGGAGGTCCCGATGTAAATCGAGTTCGATGGTAGAGGGAGGACGGTCGAATGATTACCCAGTTTTCCTTGGCCACGGATACTGCCAGTGAATGTTGATGCTCGCGTTGGTGGTCTGTATTCTTCTGCAGTCTGCTTGCTGAAGAGCTCTTGCTTGAAGTTCGGAAGGGGAGGCGGACATGGCGATATCGATATTGAGGTGACACTGGCTGAGTGTGCATGATATACACGGACGGATTGTAGAAGCGGTAAGGACATAACATGCTTGACAAGGTCAGCTCATATGTCTGCGCGCTGGTGTGGCTAACTTACGACGTTTCCGTTGTGCGTCCCGACGATCTAGGTACCTCGTTAGCTCATTATAGTATAGGTCCCGCTAAGGATGCATACCATTTTATCCCCTGCTACGAGGAACGAGCTTGTCGCATCCCCGTTGCGATATACTGATCCCAGGTGCTTCGTAAGGTATGCGTACTTGAGGCGGGGTTCCTCGTCCTCGTCGTCCGAGTCATCCTCTCCTTCGGCCTCTTCTTCCTCGGCCTCCTCTTCTTCTCCATCATCGCTGCTGCTAGAGCTGTGGTCATTGAATCGTTGCTGTCTATCTTGGGCGCCTTGAGTCGTGTCTGTAGGTGATCCGGTTCGTATGGATGTGTCGTGCTTGGGAGTGCTCTGAATGGCACTTTCGTCCGGCGGTGTCGCGCCAGGCGCGTCCATGGCAAATCCCTCTCACACCTGCAGCTCCCAAGCTGGTTGAAGTGGAATGCGACAAGCTGAAACGGGATCCTGTGGTTCTACAGTTGAGCCGGGGTAGGTCAGTGCCCCGAGCTTGATTCCATGACTAAGCGGGCTATTGGGCCGCGGGCTTCAGGACGATGTCATCGACCGAGCTATTCGGGCTTTTTGATCCTCGGATACACACACACATACAATGTTTGCCAGGCCATATGTATGTTTAAACTGTTGCAGGCGCCCAATTTCACAGTTTCCTACGCGACCGCAGACCCAATTCCTTCATGCCTCTCCTAGACTAGCACTTCCCCGACGGAAGGATTTCTTTTCATCCAATGCCCACTTGAAACAAAAACAGAACGCCGATGAACCAATTGAATCCTCTCCGGATTCCCGGAAGCAACTTCGACGGGGTCCTAGGTCACCAGCAGCTCCCACTTCATTGCGGCGGGTAGCGGTAGAGGCACAGAGGTCGAAGGATGGCATTATCTCCAAGGCGCTCCTCAAAGAGCAGGGGTTATATCGGACTAAGGTAGGCATGACTGTTTCTTCTACGATCTTCTTCCACTAATTATTTATCGCTAGACAGTTACCGCCTACGCCGTCGCCGAACAATTTGACATCCGCAAAGTAAGAGATATCTTGCAAGAACGAGGATATGAACCGGACCCGTTGGAAACCGGGCTTTTCCCGCAGGTCGTTCATGTTCAGATACCCTTAGACTCCATACAGCGCATGACGAATCCCTCCGGCATAGATCTACCATCCGACGAAGTGGGCGATTTATTCGTGTTTCCCTCCGGTACTGTGGTAGCGTGGGGGCTCCCAGAAGGATTCACATCATTCCTGGCAACGCGGACTCTCTTGCCCGCAGCACAAGGTGCCCATGTGGATAACCTGGAAACCGAGGATCTCGAATTCGTGGAGGACCCGAAGCGAGAGAACAGTGTGATCAAAGGTGACACGATTATACTAGGCACCAAACCAGGTCACGGAGATGCGGAGGGATTACCAGCGGCGCAACAATCCATTAACACGGTGTTGACCAAGATTGCATTTTCGTCAGGTCTCGCTCGGAGTACGAAGTTGGCCGTCCTCGAGAGCCTTCTTTCAAACTATTTTGAATCGACTCGGCCAATTCCGACTCTTCTATCAAAGGGATCCCGTCTTCCTTTTACACGAGACTTTGTCCTCCGGAAGACGGGGCAGCTGCTCAGTGTCCGAGCCCAGCTCAATCTCTATTCCGAGCTCACTGATTCCCTTCCCGATCTCTTTTGGGACAGCCGACACGAGCTCGGCTTGGAGGGATACTACGAGCAGGCTGGCAGAGCTTTAGATGTTGGAATTCGCATCAAACTGCTGAACGAGAAGATGGACTATGCGCAAGAGATCGCAAGTGTACTTCGGGAGCGCCTAAGTGAGACACACGGTCTGCGGCTCGAATGGATTATTATTCTGCTCATTACCGTTGAGGTTGGCTTTGAAGTATTACGACTGTGGAAAGAAAGAGCACATAAACAGGAGGAGGCGCGCAAGCAGGAGGCCTAGGTCACCCGAGGCCAGAATTGACAGGCGCGAACTCAGTGTGATTATATTGCCCGCGATACCCCTTCATTTTCAATATTAGACGAGTGCAACATAAGAGAAAATGCTGCTGTCGGCAAGTAATCAAAGCCAGGTGACTCGTGGGCCGATTCCCCTTATCAGCCCGGCTGTCCCCGCGCTTAGTCATATGAGACTCCGCACGAGGACAGTACCCGTAGACGCCGACAACCATTGTAGCCTCCTTAACATACCTATCCCTCGTCTAAATACGATTTTCCTAGTACACACCTACTTGTCTATTCTTATATTCTTCCTCTGTTTCAATTCGACACGTTTGTTCCCTGAAATAACGGCAAAATGATACCAGCGATGATGCGGGGATCATCACAACAGCTCATGGGGATTCCCGGACCCCAGAAGATTCTCAAGACCGTCGGCTCACTCTGGCTTTCGCAAACTACAAATGAGAATGATAATCTCAGAACTTCATCATCATGCCCTCTCTCGGAAATTAGTTGCCAGGCCAATTTCCACGGTCAAGACACCTGCTGTTTCAATTACCCCGGTGGTCAAATGCTGCAGACGCAATTCTGGGATGTCGATCCTCCACTCGGTCCTGAAGACGCATGGACTATCCATGGACTATGGTGAGTCTATATCATATCCCCAGGTTGAATGATATCAAGCTAACTCTTCAGGCCCGATCACTGCAACGGCGGCTTTGACCAATTCTGCGACTCCAAACGCAAGTACAGCAACATTTCTCTGATTATAGTGGACGCGGGCCGGGGAGACTTGCTTGAATACATGAGCGAGTATTGGAAGGATTTCCGGGGGGATGATAACAATCTGTGGCAACATGAGTGGAACAAGCACGGCACTTGCGTCAGCACCCTGGAACCAGATTGCTACGAGGACTATCTGCCTCAACAGGATGTCGTGGACTACTTCGACAAGACTGTTGAGGTTTATAAGGAGTTGCCTTCCTATGAGGTTAGTTTAATCCTGTCGGTTAATGACCGACTATATTCGGATCAAACCACTAACCATGCGTAAGTTCCTGGCCAATGCTGGCATCATACCATCTCAAACACAGACCTATGCTCTTGCCGATATTGAAGCTGCACTAGAACAAGCCCATGGAGACCCGGTCACTATCCGTTGCCGAAATGGTGCCATCAATGAGATTTGGTACTATTTCAATATTGCAGGAAGTCTCCAATCAGGGGAATTCATCCCTGCTGGACCAGGTCGGTCAAACTTCAAACTCGCGTTGGTAAATCGCAAGCTTACAAAATAGTCAGATGGCCAGAAGTCCAATTGCCCTTCCAGGGGAATCAAGTACCCACTGAAGCATGCTCGGCCGGAGCCGACCCGGACGACGACCATAGGTAATCCAGAGCCCACGGCGCCAGGAACTCCATTTGCAGGCCGAGGTAACTTGATTGTTGAGAGGCTTAACCGAAAGCATGGCTGTATCATTAGCTTCGGAACTTGGTTTTCTTCAGGGACCTGTGCGACTTTCCGGGCCGAAAAGCTATCAGGTTCGTGACCGTGCTTTCCACACATGACGCCTCTGCTATTGTTTGCTAACGTGAAGTATCCTTCAGGTGATTTATTTACTCTGAATTCTAGCAAGGGGCCCTGTGCCTTCGAGCGAGACGCCCTTACTTGCGGACCACACGTCAACAAGCCCAGTGAGTTCACCGTATGTTCATCCCAGAAAATGCTCCAATATATCATCTCATCTTCTCACACTGCATACAGGCCAAGGATGGTAAACTCGCCTACAGTGATCACACTACTTTCTATGCCCAAAATCCTCCCAAGGGGCGTACACAAAGTAATGTGTATGCTTCGCAAGGGGGACGACCCATTGAAATTGAGATTACCTGGGTCTCGAAGTAGATGGGTTATCTTTACTGTTGTTTCACTCGCTACCCTGGTGAAACATAGGTCGGCCTTTCGGTGTGATGTTGCACAGAAATCCCTGCATAGAATGGAACGAGGGGACTGTTAGACGATTCCTCAACGCAGAATAATTAGAAATATCAAATAGAAAGCGCGGTGTTTGGAGTAGTATGTTAATATATGTCATTCCTTGCGTGAACGGATATTTTGTATTCCGAAACTTGAGGGTGCAATCGGTTGATTGAGGGAAGGTCGCTAAGATGCAGACTATTTGTACTTTTCTCTTGGAATCTATTATATTCCAGTCTTCTTTTCACCTACAATTCTACGATCAAGGCTGTGACGGGTTATGTGGAGCCAGATGTAAGCTGTAGGCATAGCATGTTTGAGATGGTAGAGTACAAGCCATCCGCAATTATGTCTGTCATCGAAGGAAAACAGTCCTTGAACAAGCCATCCTTGACAGGGTAGGTACAGAAGAGATTCATTGAAAATAAAGACATCAAATACATATCGCATCATGAAGTGAGTGAACATATGAAAAGAAGGATAAACACCTGGAATAAACACGCTGCCGTGTATCGAACATCTTCGAAGAGATGAGATAAGGCCGAAAGAACGTGAATAAAAACAATCATGACAAGACAAAAAGAAAAAAAAAAAAAAAACAGCAACAAGAAGAGACAAATACATGGGGGGAAATAAGGGGCAAAAAGCAAATAGCCCGAAACACTCGCAAGTCCGCAAAGTCGTTTCAAGTCCCGAAATGTGTGCAGAGAAAGAAAACGCCCTTTTTTATCGTGGGTCATTAAAGTGTACAAGGTCGTCCCGGATCGTCGCAAAGCAGTGTCGCCGTGAAGAAGATGGTAAGCCACGCCGTATGTGTCGTCGCTCTTTTTGTAGTAACATAGCCGCTCAAGGGTCCACTAGGAACTCGCTGGACAAGCAGTCGATTGGGTCCGTCAGGTCATCAATACCAGAGAAGGTCTTCTCGGGATAATATGACGAGACAGGGGCGAAGTCGGTTGCATCGACGAATTGATAAGTCGGGAAACCAGGGATGCCCGAGTGAGCGAGATGACCGAACTCCTGTCGCAAGTCCTCGGAGGGATCTTGGGTCATGAAGATATCGATCTCCGAGCTGACGGATGATTCGGCCAGAGTGGGCGCCGACCGAGGGGAAGACATCTCCCGAGGCGAGAGGGCAGATTCACTATAGAGAGATTCCTGCGAGTACGTGGATTCCTGCGAGTATGTCTGCGAGCTGAAATTCGATGCGTACTGAGCCATTGCCTGTTCGTATCTAGCGTGGGCGAGTTGAGGTGGTGACAAGGGCAGCATGTCATCCTCGAGCCGGGCATTCACGGGGTTGTAGGTGTGGCATGGCGGGGACATTGTGTGGTATCTGTCTCCGGGAGAGGTGGGCGGCGTATAGGATGAGACGGCACTGGATGGGGCATAGTTGGGCGAGTTGAACACGGGAGCATCTTGCAGAGTGGCATGGGTCTGGGCTGAACCGTTTGAGGTGGATTTTTCAGCAACACGTTGACGAGTACGAGTGGACTTGGCCTGGCGAGTATCGAGATCCGGACGGCTGTTCTTCTTCTTCGGGGGGCGACCGCGCTTGGTGGTCTTTGGAACTACACCGGTGAAGCCTCCAACACACATATCGCGCTGGCGGTGCCGAGTTAGGGCATCCTGTCGAGCAAAGCTGGCGCCACAGGCACAGGCGAAGGGCTTATTGCCACTGTGTGTCTTGAGATGGCGCTTGAGATCGTGTCCGCGCACAAAGTGCTTTTCGCAAATGTCGCATTTGAATTGACGGTCTCCGAGGTGTGTTTGGACGTGGGACTTGATGTTTTCCTTGCGACCAAAGCGGCAAAGGCAGCCTGTAAATAGACAGACCCACTTTCCATCTTTGGGGTCGGGGCCGGAGATGAACTTGGCAATCTCGTCAGTCGAAACGCCGGTTTCCTGGACTGAGGCCTTGACTCGGGCGTCAAGGTCATCATCGTGAGCGGCTAGCTCGATGGGAGACGACACAGTAGACGGGGCACGTTTTTTGGTTCTGCCAGTGGAAGATGTGATTGAGATATTGGAATTTTGAGGCGTCATTCCATATGAACTCGGGGATGGCATATCGGCAATTTCGGCGAACGTGCTAATCGGGGAATTGACCGGAGAGGGCATTTGCTGCTTAATCTGCACAGAATTGACATAGGCTCCTTGAAAAGACTGCGCTCTCTGCATCTCAGCAGTAGCGGGGTTATGGGGGAATGAGAAACTTTGGGACTTGGAAGGTGTTGGGACATTGCTGTACATGGAATAATCAATAGATCTTTTCAATGGGGTAGAATCGGGGGTCAAGGGGGAGTCTGGCATATAATCAGTTTCGGTCGGGTCAAATTCAACATAAAGATTCATACAAGCAGTAGACATTTGCGAAAGAATTTTCGCAGATGGAGCCTTTGGTTGAACAGAGACTGGGTGCATTGGTCCGGCATAGGCCGTCACCTGCTCGTTTTGGATGATTGGCATGTTGCGCCGAGAGTACAATTCCCAATCGGCATTGCCGACATATTGTTGCTGTTGTTGGTTCGAGAATTGCTCTTGTTGCATACGGTGCAGCGCACGCTTCAATGGTGTATTTTCGGAGCTCTCACTGGCTGATCGGGACAAGGCCGGAGCACCGATGGACGAGGGCGCAGGGCTGCCAGTGGTGGTGTGGATCGCTTGCAATTGTTCTTGGTTGAAAGCCTGGCAGTCAGACCCGAGCGACTGTTGTTGATATTGATATGGCTGCTGCATGTGCATGCCATGTGGGATGAAAGCCTGCTCGGGCTGCTGGGCATAGGATTGATACTGCTGTACATCCCTCGGTTGATATGAGAAACCTGATTTTTCGTTAAAATAATCTCGCAACTGCGAGACCGTCTTCGGCATGTGTCGGTCGACATTGGGCTGTTGACTGAAGGAGTTGTAGTCCACAGTCTGGCCTCGACGATGTGACCGATGGGGTTGCATATTGGTCATGACTGGTTGGTATGGAGCAACTGGGGTGGAGATTTGACGGCGGTGACGACCGGTTCCCAGCGCGTTGGAGTTCATGATTATATTGCCGCTTGACGGTTGGGTCCTGATTGAGGTGTCAGTATGTGAATATGAACGCAATGGGCACTAGGAAGAGGGAAAGTGGGAGGGGTGTTAGAGGCTCAAGAGTATCAAGTGTAGAGTCAACCTATTCAGGTCACACGGTTCAAGTAGATATTCTCAATTGAACCTGGAAGAGCAGAAACACGAATGTATGAAGGTTTCCAAGGTTTGGTTCTGGAACCCCGATCTATGTGAGAGACCCGCGGTTCTCATCAACAAATTGGGGCGTTGGCATGGCAACGGCGGTGTCCGGGCGTCTGGGAAACCAAAGGCTTTGACGAAAGTGGGCCAACCCTTGCCCGACTTCGATTTTCCCGTGGTGATCGAGGACCTTGCTTGTGATTATTCGACTTCTTCTGCAAGGGCAGCTAGTCCCTGTGATAGAATGCGTATAAACGTACCTAGAATCCGTAAGATTGACACCTCCTCGGTTCGTTTCCAAGGAGATTCGATATAAACAAGGTGATCTCGTACTATATAGACCTTGGCTCCATATATAGTACCCATAGCCCGATGGGCCGATACGGTGCCATGGCGTCATCCATGGAAATGATATTCGACCTGTCCAACACGGGATAATTATTAACGTAGCGGGCCTCAGGCAGAAATAATATTCGAGTCACGTGCTTTTTCTCGGTCAGCATTTCATTTCACGCTAGACTACTTTCGGTGCACGACCCACCCCACGTGATCGCACAACGATTTTAATCACCAACCGGCTTCCGCGCACAACGATCTTCTTTAATCTTGCAAGGTTGAGGAAGACACCACTGTCGAGGTGAGTATTTGGTTTTAGGCCAGCGGATACGAATGTGATGACCATGCGCCATTAGCATGTAGTCCATTCTCTCTCTGACTTCTACATTTTCGTCGTCGCGAGCATCGCACTGACTTTTTTTTTTTCGCAGGCCTTCATCAAGATGCAGATCTTCGTCAAGACCCTCACGGGTAAGACTATCACCCTTGAGGTGGAGTCATCCGACACCATTGACAATGTCAAGTCCAAGATCCAGGGTAAGCATCGAAATCCGCGCGCAACGATCGCACACACCACAACCCGAGGCTCTAGACTAACCCCGCACCAGACAAGGAGGGTATTCCCCCTGACCAACAACGTTTGATCTTCGCTGGTAAGCAGCTCGAGGACGGCCGCACTCTTTCGGATTACAACATCCAGAAGGAGTCGACCCTTCACCTCGTGCTCCGCCTGCGTGGTGGTGGTAAGAAGCGCAAGAAGAAGGTCTACACCACCCCCAAGAAGATCAAGCACAAGCACAAGAAGACCAAGCTCGCCATCCTCAAGTACTACAAGGTTGACGGTGATGGAAAGATTGAGCGTCTTCGCCGCGAGTGCCCCGCTCCCGAGGTATGTGATAGCTCTGTCGCAAAACGATTATCCTTATATTCTGATTCGGAAACTAATTTGTCCTTTCTTATAGTGTGGTGCCGGTGTCTTCATGGCCGCTATGCACAACCGCCAGTACTGTGGTAAGTGCCACCTCACCTACGTCTTCGACGAGGCCAAATAAACGGTCTAAGTCGGACCGTGGTGTGCTGTCACCGAGCTTGGGCGTGGTTTCTGCTAGGCTAGGGCAAGTGACGGAGTGTCGCGGTTGACGCTGGTTGATGATGGTTCTTGGAATACCAATGTGCTACAGTCAATTACAAACAAAAACTAGGCATCCGCCGAAAACTTAAAAATTCCACGTAATGATAAGACTTGTATGTATTCGTAGACTTGGGATATTGTCATATCCTGTCCGATCAACCACTATACTGCGAACAACAATGCTTAAATCCGTGTAAGCCCTCACTCAACCTACTCTTCCGGGAACCCAGCTTGGACATTGGCATACTTGCTCTCGGGGAAATCAAGAGCATTACACGACTGATCCAAAGCGCCTGGACCACCCACACCGTCAACAAAGATACCGATCAAACTTCCTTGCGCCGGATCAGCCTCCTTCCCACCCTTATCACCGCTACTCTCCCACCACATACCACCACCCAGTCCGCGCTCGCGAATATAGTTCGCCTTGATCTGCGCCATATAGGGTGTGTCGTAAGTAACCATCTTGCGCGCACCGGCATCATAGCAGAACGAGGCACCAGGTTCCTGATCAAACTGCTCCTGAGCCCCGGGTCTGGGCAGTGCCTTGTAATCCCACACCCCGTTCTCCCAGCTGCCCTCTCCGACGCCGGAGAAGGGGGCGCCGGGTCCGTCAGTGTTCTCAAATGCACGTCCGTACAGCGGCATGCCCATGACGATGTTTGAGGGTGGTACGCCGCCGACGTTGATGTAGTAGTCTAGGGCAGTGTTGATGGAGAACGGCGTGGATGCAGGGTTGGAAACTGAAGGAACGATGTTCGCTTGGTGGCCAGCGTTGCTGTCCCAGCTTCCGGCGAAGTCGTATGCCATGAGGTTGTAGAAGTCTAGCACTGGGGTCATGTCTTGGAATCTGAGCTTCTCGTAATTGCTCGGGCCTGTAGTAGTTAGTTTGATGGTTCAGGGCGCTTTTCTATCGCCGAGGATATGGTATAGACATACCGGCAGGGCAGGCGATTGACAAGTAGAAACGGCGATCGGGACCGGCCTCTCTATCAAGAACCTATTTCCGGTCAGTTGGGCCAATTTCTAAGAACCAGAATAACGATATACCTCTCGGCACTTCCGAAGCAGAAGAACTAGGTGCTCAGCCTCGGTATCATCTAGATATAAAATAAGCCTCGTGCCTCCTTCGAGTATGTTCCGACAAACCCACCTTTAGGATATTCCCAATCAATATCAAGACCTAAGAAACAGTCAAAACCAGCATTTCACACCATACTAGTCGATGAAACATACCATCGAATCCCAGATCCAGAACCAAGCGTGTCGCCGATTCGGCAAATGCAGTCCGACCCTCATGGGAACTCGCAGGCTGCGCGAAATTCGAGGAGTACGTCCAGCCCCCGATAGAAAGCAAAACCTTCAGCTTGCGGTTCTGCTTCTTGAGCAGGAAAAGCTGCTTAACACATCCGTACACATTAGTACCGACGTCATTCCACGAGTCTGTCGGGTAATGCTTCTCGACGTCGGACCAAGAGTCGGTCAAGTACCTGCAATTCTGGGTCAGAAAATCTTCTGCAGTCTGTACGGATCAAAATCAGGACTTACACTTCGCCACTTTCGGGACGGATGTTGGCAAATGCGTAGAGGATGTGTGTCAGCTTCTCCGCGGGTAGATCCTGCGGGTTGTAGTTGCGGCCGTAAATTGCCTATGCAGTATGTCAACATTGGAGTTCTTTTCTGGGTTGTATATGCAGCCAGTTAGGCATAGTAAAATAGATGCAGACCATGCAGTCGGAGTTGAAATGGTGAGGCCAAGTTAAGTATAGTACATACCCAGTTGACAAAATAGGCGACTGATCTCATTTCACACATGGCTGATGCGGGATGGGTAGTACGGGGATTAAAGTATTGCACGAGAACAGCCACAAGTAGGGCAGTAAACAGAGCAATAGACTTGGGATGGTACGCCACACTTTCAAGTCAAAAGAAAGTTAAGAGAGTTTCGGGAGCACTAAAAGCAAGTATTTCAAGATACTTCAGTTATGTCGCAGCCTAATTGTTAGTGGACTTGTCGTATCCTTAAGTCTGGGCAGTGTCAACGCCACACCCTCATTGGTCAGGACTCACTGGGCACCTGTGGCGGTGTATATATTCAGGCACCAAGGCGACAAACGTGGCTGGGTATAGAAGAGATAAGAAGATCGAAGATCAGTGAGTATCTGTATATCTGTATAAGCTGGGGAGGACCTATGTCGGAGGTTATATACATATGTATAGGTACTAAATGCTCAGAAGGGTCCAAGAAACGTGGTGTGTGACACCTCCGCCTGTTCATCGTGCAATGTAACCATACTTGGCCAATCCTAATATGTCTCATGTAATAGTGTGTTAGCTTATTAGATTTGGACCTGCAACTCATTGTTTAGAAGCACGAGGTAGGAAGTATGAAGTACTCGTGATGTTAAGAATGCAACTCTCCACTCTCCAGAATGCGACATGGCCATCAGAAAAGAAGCAATACTATGTAGAATCACCATTGACTAGTCATGAGGACTCGTTTACTAGATTCGTGGTTAAGAAGATCCTGAATATTCTGAAGTTCGAAGATCTCCTGATTGGAAGTATCTGTATAAAACCCTGGTCAGGCGACTTACCTCGAATATGCCCACAGCATCGGATTCTTTCGGCAGCAGATCAACTAACCCTTAGTGAGAGGCTTCCCAAGCCGAGGAATGTCGGACAAGCGGCAATCCCGGATAGTGATCTCGACAGGAGATGTACAATGATCGACTGAAACTACACGTGGAGTCAGCCTTGAACCCACCTGTCTACATGTGATGAATGTATGTACAATACATATGTTGCAAGTTAAAACTGCATGAAACGCAAGTTCTATATCCACAAATATAATATTAGATATAACTAGCACTCGGAGGCACCGAAGTTGATGTGCAACGATCGACAAAGCATCTTCATCCAACCCCACCGGGCCTGGGAGCCATAATTGAATGCCGATCAAGACAAACAAGAGCCGAAGATACGAGGCTGTCCCGGGAAGCGGGGGGGGGGGACATCTAGAAAGAGAAATGTGATTGGCCCGACCATAGAAAGTTAACCCAAAGGAAACCCCGGGAATAACAAAGAAAAGAAGAAAAGAAGAAAACAGAAAAAAAAAACAACGGCTGCAAATCCAATCCATCCATAGCTGAACTCGAGCCGCGATATGGCCGTTTGTAGAGCTGATTGGATCGACACAAGCCGAACTAACGCCCTTAGCCTCGCAAGCCGTGTCGGAAATCTCTACATCGTATGCCAAGTTGATCCCGATCCACTTTGATCGTAACGCTTTTCTTTTACCCTAGATATACGGTGGATCGATTTCAGCTGGTATCTCTGCCTCGGAGCCCCAGGTGTCTCGTTCAAAATAAGCCTCTACGATGTGTCCTTTGTCCTTGCATTAGTACGGAGTATGTACCTGAAAGCAAATTCGTCTTTGCATCAGACCATGTGGGGCATTGGGGCATTGGGGCATTAGGGCTATCTTCTGTTATGCACTTCATTCAAGTATGTATAACATCCGGAGCAGAGTACTTGTCCATAGTACTACGTAGTATTACGATGTATGTTGTCCAATATACACATAATTAGATCTGGTCTTGTAGATTGAACAATAAAATGGAATGGAATGAAATTGGATTGGATTGAGTCTTCAAACAGATCTCATATCGCAAACAGAAATACAGCCCAAAAAAAAAACAAGAAGGATATCGTAGCTATAACCAAAACCACGCAAGTAATCCAAACTCATTTTGTTATTTCACAGAAAGGCAGTACACACGGCCAGCGCTATACCCACCATCCCACACAAACCCCTCTATTAAAAGAATCATATAACGCCCAACAAGGCTCACAAGCACTCAAAAAAAAAGTACAAGGCAAAAAATCCGAAAAAAAAAAAAGAAATCCCGCAACCTCAACCCCCACGCAACATGCATTTGTTCCTATTTCCAATTTTCATTTCCGTTTCATTACTTTACCTACCCGCAACCCAACGATGGATCACCTCCAAGGACGGGTCATCGTCAAGCCAGTGACCAGCGCGCAGATCCGCAGCTCGCAAGTCCGCCACGACATGCTGGTCTGTGAAGCGCGCCAGATCCTGATGGAGGGCGGCAGTTGCGCTCTTCAATGCTGCAGAGTGCTGGGCTGTTGGAGGGGAGCCGCGTAGAACACCGGCGCGCGTCATGGCCCATCGCCGGGCTGCGGCGGCGCGCAGGTAGATCTTATGTGCTTGGAATCGGCGTGCGCTGCTGTCCAGTATGACTCTGAAGGATGATGTTAGCGTCTTCACATAATTGGATGTTCAGGTTTTGCTGTATACCTTTGTAGCTCGGCTTTCTCGGTCTCCGCGTTCCCTTGCCCTGTCACCGGGCAGGGTTGGTAGTTGGCGGACATTAGGGTCTGGGCTGAGGCTAGGGACTCGCGGAGTACTACGAAGCCATCTTCCCAGTATTCCTCTTGGGATACTTCGACCTGCTGTTGCGAGATGTGGAGCAGGAGAGTGCGGTAGTCGTTGATTATCTCGGCGACTCGCATAGCGCGGGCTTGATTGACTGTGCGGGTATTAGCAGGTTGTGGTTGTTTGATTGGTTGGTTAGGGTAAGCTTACATCCATCTGCCATGTTTTCGGTAGATTAAGTATATAAAAGGAAGGCAATGGATCGACGAGTAGCAATGATGCAAAAAGCTAGTATAAAGAACGGGCTGCAAAGATAACCAATGAGAGATGAAAGAAAGGCAATGGTCAGAGGAATTGATGGCCCACGAAGTCGAGAATGTTAGGCCACCAACGGTTTCCGGGGGGGAAAAGAAGGAGAGATATAAGTCTTCAAAGATTGGAAACAGTGTCTCTCGTTACCCCATACATGATCAATGGGTGGACCAAAAAGGGAAAAAAGCCATGCTATAAAATAATAATAACATAAAACCAAGGGATTTCTCAGCCTACAGCGGAGCCGACGTCAGGATACATCACGAAGAGAACGAGCTGCACCAATAGACGCGCAAGATCCCACGATCAGGTAGTTCGGGTTGTCAAGCACAGCTGGGATGGGACGGGGCCACACCATAAGCTCCCGAAAAACCGTTTACGGCATGACAAGGGCCATCCTGATCCCAAGGAGAGGGATCGGTGGAGAAAGAGAGACCAGAAGAGACCAAAAGAGGCATCGCATATTAAAAAAAAATTGGCCTATGGAATTCCCAGTATCCCAGCTGTGGATTGGGAGTGGATAGCGTTGGCCCGCATATGAGATTAGGTTCTTGCGCCGATTTGGCGTTTCTGGTGCGAATAGAGAGATGGTGTTTCATGCTGCTGATTGGAGAATATTGAATGAACTACTGACTCAGTGGGGAGTCATGTTTTTTTTTTTGTTTTTTTTGTCCTTTTTTCGTGTCGATGCATCATTCCCAATTCCTCGTGGGACCCTCTGTCGAAATTCCGAAATAGAAAGAGTTCAAGGTAAAAGGGACAAGACCTCAGCCTTGGACCTGCATTAGACATTTCCTCGGACCTGAACTCGGACTTGACGTGTAGTGGATCTGACAAGTGGTGAACATGTTCAGCTGGTATATTGGCGGAGTATTTGCCACACGTGTAGTCCAATCAGATGACGAGAACAGCCTCCTTGGATAATTTATCAGTAAGCCACATTGTGGCGCCCACAACTCCTAGTAGCTGTCTACTGTCTCCTTGCTGTTAGGTAGGTAACACTGTGATAACCTGGTAGCGAAGCAAGCCCAAAGTTTGCACTGGTGGATTCTCTACCTTGGACAAGCTGGACAAGCTGGATATGATCTCGGGCCATCCGAAAGGGGTATCGCCGAGAGATGAGATTCAGTATAGCATCAAGGTATCGTGCAGGAAAATAATTGAGTTATCATTCACAGATCGTCTGTTTCTCTAAAATAAACACCGGAGTCCTTCCATTACTGGTCTCTTGCCTCCATAGCTTGGACCCAGCTCACTCAGTCCTTCTCGGCTATGGCTTGCAGCCGTTCATCAATCTCCTCTTCCGTCAGAGCACGGAACGCTGTAGTGGTCCCCTCCTCGCCGTCGGCCCGCGGCCCACCGACGACACCAATCTCGATCTCGTGCTTCTTGAAGTCGACACTTAGCACATTGCTGAGGGCTGTAATGCCCAGCTCCACAACCTCCTCCCAGCTACCCGGGGCTGCATCTTTGTTCTTCAGCTTCTTCTCTAGGTAGTTCAACGCCTCCTGCTGCTTGGGACCGGATGCTGTTGCCTTGTACCCAACATAGTAACCGGCCGGGTCACATTTGTAGAGCTGCGGGCCGCTCTCGTCATCCACAGAGATCAAGGTCGTAGCCACGCCAAGTGGCCGCATGTAAGCCTGCGAATTTCAAAGAGAACCATATCAGCTATTCTGTCTCACTGGGTCGTACGGTGGCGGGAAATCCTACCCTTTGTGTGTAGACCTGGCTGATATTTGCCAGTCGCTTTGCCAGGACATCGCATGGCATCTCATATCCGAACTTGTACCGGAACTCAGCAGCCTCACCACGGGCCCGGTCAACGGATGCGCGAGCATCTGCTATGGAACCGGTCATCACACAGCCTACGGAAGGCGAAATGCGGAAAACATGTGAAACGGAGGACGGGTCGATCAATTTATCCTGGTAAACAGCGAGTGTAAGCGCAATCCCAGCGATAAACCAGGAATTCATCTTACAGCGACTTTCTTCTGCGAGAGTACCACGGCACAATCCTTGCCCCTCACACCGATGGAGGTGATGTTGGCTGAAGTGATAGCCTTGAATGCATATTCTGAGATATTTGGTCAGCGGTCATGATGACAGCGAACGAATTGAGGATGCTGGGCAGATCGAGGCGGAATCATCGACCAGTGGATAATACATACCAACTTGGTACAGTCGACCCTGGTCAGAGAAGATAGTGATATGTCTGTCGTAGGCGCTTCCTGCGGAGAGAACGAATGTCAGTCGGGGATGAAGTCATGAGGTTGGGCTGGGCCATCATCGACGATGGAGCATACCAGACATGACGGCGAATCTTCAAGTATTTCAAAGCTGGATTAATAGAAGGAAAGGAAAGAAATGAGCAAGGACGGTCCAAGAGGATGAGACGATGGGGGTTGATCAGTGACGCGTGCCAGAGCTGCCTGAGCTCAAGCTTGAGGTCAGCTTCACCGCCTTCCAGGTTTCTCTATCAACAGTTCAACAGCACATGGTCATTTACCACGAATGAGCTCGAGGTATTTCACAGGTAGTAAGGGCCACTGCGTGAATGATTAAAAGCATAACTCAGACTTGTTATTGTTATTTTCTTTGACCTTTAGATGTGTGAAATATCAACTTGGAAGAGAAAATGAACCAACTACACACACATACTTCAAACATCAATATAGATGACATGAGGATAAAATAACTTTTGACATGAACATAATTACACCGTCCCAAATGCTATGGTAGAGATATATACACATCCAAACCCTAGGTAGCAATGCAAACCCCAATTCAATAGAACTAGTCGCTGTCGCTTTCGCTACTCGAGATCTCGATCTGAGCAGTCCTGAGCTTTCGCTTCTGTGTCTTCTTCGGCACAGCAGGCTGTACCTTTGCTTCACGAACTGGTACAAACTTCTCCTTCCTCTTGGCAGCTTTGCTTTCCTTCTTCGACATTGTAACACCACTCGCGGCACTTTTCTTGGCCGAAGCCGGGGCAGCAGACGACTTGTCATCACTGTCGCTGCTGCTGCCACTCGATGAGGTCTCGTCATCGTTATCCGGCGCGGGCTTGCTAGCAGGCTTCTTCGAAGCCGGGGCATCATCATCGCTATCCTCACTGCTGCTGCTGATATCAACGACCATGGTTCTGTTCTTCCGCTTCTTGGTTACCGGGGGTTCGGCAGCCTTGGGTTTCGGTTTCGATTTCGGCTTCTTCAAATCCTCCGCGCTGAAAAGCTTGCCGGCAACAGCGAAAAAGACCAGCTCTGCTCGCTGCCTCTTCGGTAAACGCTTTAGAACGTCTCCCTCCAACTTTTCCCCGAAGTTGAAGTTGTCCAAATCCTCATCTCCCTTTGGCAAGCACTCGCGGAACGCATTGATAGCTTCCAGGTACTCGGGGCTTGTTGAAGGCTCCTGGTTCCCCACTTCTTCATCCTCCTTCGGCTTGTCAAGATCCATATCGGCCTTGATCACGTCCCGCGCAGCATCGCTCAGTCGCTGCTTGGCGGCATCACCTTTCAGGCCCTGCATGTACGCCAGCAGCGACGTGTTGTACTTAGATGGGACATGCTCAAGCGAATACAGGTGCTTGAACAGATTCGTTTCCCGGTTCTTCTGGAACTTCCATGTCGCGCGTGCTCGGTGGTAGTGGCTCAGATACGAGAGAATAGGCGTCTCGTGGATTGGGGCTTGAGTCGACGCGGTGCCGTCTTTTCTTTGCTTCTTTTTCTCCCGCTTGCGCTGCTTCATCTGTTCGGCAGTCTTGTCTCCAACGTCTTCGGTGTCTGCTTCGGCTCCGTCTGCGTCCACTTCGTTGGTAGCGGCGGCGTCATTGCTGTCGGCTTCGTCCGACTCACTTGCGGAGTCGCCATCGAATTCCTTTGTTCCGGGTCCGAACGAGACTCGCTTTTTCCTTTTCTTGTGCGATTCATCCTCCTTGCCATTCTGGTCGCTGTCATCTTCGGTATGGCGGCGCTTCTTCTTTTTCTTCATTTCGCCGTCTGTCTCGGGTGCCGTTTCCTCGGAAATGGATTTGCGTTTTTTCTTATCCTTCTTGTCGGACTTGGCATCTTTTTTGCTGGAAGTGGACTCCTGTGCGTCTGCACTTCCCTCTTCTGTAGAATCCTTCGACTTCTTGAGCTTCGATCCGAGCTTTTTCGACGCTGGGGACTGGGCGTCCGTCTGGTGCGCCATCGTTGTTGTGGTGGGTTGTGATAGGGTCGAGCAAAATTCAAATAGAATTGAGAGTAGCGTGACGCTCTAAAGAAGGCTGGAATCTGAAATCCAGGGCCTGTTAATGCGACCTCGACTGTGGTGCTAAGACGGTTGGCGGAGACTACTTTTTTTCTGCCGATCAATTGCGCGGGCCAATCATGTTGTCTTTTCGTTCTACATACTCCCGAGGTCTCTAATGGCTATTAAGGGAATCAATTGAAACATGTCGAAAATATGGATATGGGTGGATTGTATAGAGCCATTAGTTAGAAAATTGTGCTTAGGTATCTTGCTGATCTAGATGTTGTATACTATCAACTAGATTATACAAGCTCTGTGATCAACTACAACATATACAACCACATACTTATTGGTGGACCCGTCATCTGTGGATAATAGTTTCAGAAAGTGATTCAGGTAAACTTAAGGTGTCGTAGCCTCTAGTCACCCGTAGGTTGGAGTCATTACTCTTTTAGCATCTCATATTATATTCGTTGATATTTATTCAGCTCTTGATAGACTTGTATACACTTGGATGAAAAGGAAAATATCGTAGAACTCGTCAATTGCGTTAATGATACCCTAAGAAAAATGTGACAGCTGCAGGCATCTATGTCCCAGTTCCAGAAGCGAAGCCAGGATCATTAGCCCCAGTATCCCTTCTCTCCCTGCGCACCTCCTTCTGCACAAAGCCCTCACTCCCGGAGCCTGTAGCCGCCGCAGACGCCGCAGCCCTCCGTTTCGCCTTTTCCCGTTCCTTCTCTTTTTCCTTATCCCTAGCGTTCGGACCAGCCGCCTTTCGCCGTTTAGGCAGTTCATAGACGTCGTTGAAGTTCATCACCACGCCTAGGAAGCGCATGTCCACATCCGGCTGGTACGACAGATCGCCGAGGAGGACAGTCAGACGGGAGCGGAACTCGGCGGAGAGTTCGCGGAGGCGGACGCGAAGCGAAGCAAGCATATTGTCGTCGGCGGCGAGATTGGGGCCAGATAATGAAAGCGGGGTGTTGACGCCGTCCACGCCGGCACTATCGGGTCGGACGTCCGGGGTCGAGGCCATTGAGGCCCCGGTGCGGGTGCTGGGGCGGGAGAGGAGATCACGCTCTGTGAGACCCCATTGACCCTGGGCGGAGCGAGTTTCGATCTTGGCGTTTATCTCCTGGCGGCGGGTGAATTCCGCAACGGAGAAGGAGTATAGGCCATCCACGGCATCTTTGTAGGCAAGCATGAACTTGAGAATCTGGTGGAGTTGGCTGAGGAAGCTTTCTTCGGGTTGTTTGGCGGAAGTCGAGGTCGAGGTGCCGTAGCGCGAGGAGGATGCAGATCCTAGTAGACCCTTGTGGGTGATGGAGTTGAGGTATTTGGTGTGTGCTTCGATAAGGTCGTCCAGCGTGCAGTCCGGTCTCCGGATTGCCTCGAGCAGTTGTTCCCAACTGGACTCGATGACTTCGAACAAGATATAGTATTGGAGCTGGTTGACGAAGTGGATCATTTCTGCAATCACGCAGCGTGCTCGCTTCCAGTCTGCTCCGACTTTATCCTCCACATTGCCGAGCACTCCGCGTGCACCGGTCATGCATCGTCGCCAGGTGCTGTTCAGCGCGAACTCAACTCGCTTGATGCGCCAGAGGAAGTTGAACACTTTCAAGTATTGAGTTGACGCCCAAGGTGTGATGACCACGTCCACGGGAGCATCGATTTTGTATTCCAATGTGAAGCAATCCCATCCAATTTCACCGTGGCTCAGCTCGAGCATACGGGCATCAAGGCGACGCAGCACTTCGGGGGTATCATATTGGGCATTGGAAGCACGGATAGCATGTTCCAGCTGTGCAGTTAGGGTATGTCGATATTGTGAATTTGCTGGACGATCCAGATTTGTGGCAAGCGACTCCATGAGTAAAGCAATGAAGTCTCCTTGGCCCAGTAGCAGGTAACTCTTCAGTGCTTTTAGGTGATCGAGGAGGTTGAATTTCCCATTCATCAGGGTAATCAATCGAGCCATTGTGGTTTTATACGCCTCATCAATGGAGATCTCGAGAGTGGCGGTGTCACCATATCGAAGCTCCTTGGAGGCTTCCTTCGAATAGGCCTCCACCCAAGCCGAATCGCCGCAGCCATGACGGATGAAGTTCAAGGATTTTCCAATCAAGAAAATCTTCTTTGCAAACTCTTGCGTAATGATTGAAGGTACCATGTCATCATCAAGCCTATATTTGTCCTCCCAAACACTGGTTGCAAGCCGCCGGGGGTCAGTCTTCGGCCGGAACTCTGGATCAGCGACAAAGAATTCCTTGTATGGATCTGACAGTTCGCCATCGTAAATCCATAGTCGTAGCATGTCGTAGAATGGGCGTGTCACATGTGCAAGAAGTTTCTCGGCGAATGCACACACGAAGGGGTCTCCGTGGGATGTTGAAAAGCTGTGTATTAAGGAAATCAACTGGCCGCCCCTCTTACCTATGATATGCGTCAGCAATTGGGAGGATATTCATCCGCCTGTCTACTTACTTTGAGCCTCTTCCACGATCAAACTCATTAGTCGAAGGGCCATGGTAGCATCTCTCGTCCACACAACGCATCGCTTCAAGGTAACGCCACCCTTTCGTACACCTTGAGGCTCGGTTCCTTCTCCAATAGCGGCCAGCGCCTGTCTGATTTCCGCCTCTAATGTAGCCACTAAGCTAAGATATGCGCGCAGCTCAACGGCAATGGCAGCTCGCAAGCTCTGGTTCACCAGTCCGCCTTCTTCGCTCTCCACAAACACAGACAGCCCTTTATAGAGCAGACAAGGCTCCGCCAACGTGTTAAGGAGTGAGGTTATCGGCGCAGACAGATTCGAGGGCAATTTCAAGCTCGACGCGGAACTAAATTGCAGATTCGACGAAGACAACCCTTGCAAGTTGAACGGAAGGTCACGCAGTAGCCTCTGCTCAACCGACCCAGACCATTTCGCCGGTGCCGATGGATTAGCAGTCGAGGGCCGAGACGAGGCAGCACGAACATGTTCATCGCTGGAATGGTCCTTCACTCCAGTATCAATGCGAGTAGCTGGTATGTCAGCCGAGTTGCGCCTAGCCTGGTCCACGCCATCACGGTCAATATCACGTCGCAGCGAACTCTGTCGCTGTATCTTCGCCGGCAATACGGGTTGGTGTTGCTGCGAAGCCGACGAGCTAACAGCGGGACCCTCCTCATCGGAGTTGACCATCGTGCCCCGTCTTGGGCGTGCACCATCCTTCCTCAACATATTGTGCAAGTGCGCATCTTCCATCAACGGGCTCCGGCTTCGTTCCCCGCCCTCTAACTCATCCGAAGCAGATAACTTATAAAGCAGAAAGAGGATACCCCATTTCTGCGACAGCACAGGCTGCGTCAGGAGGCGCGAGTAGAGATTTGAAAACCGCACCGCCTTATCCGGGCTGACATTTTCGCGGCGCAGCTTGCGCTTAATCAGATCAGGCGCGTTGTTGATGCTCTCCGTTCCCGCGAAACTTCCGCGGCGTCCACCAAGCCCAGCTGGTGATCCTGGATCTGGAGCGTTGGTGCTGGCGTGGGTGTCGAGAATGCGCCAGGCGCGCTCCATGAGGACATGGTGGCGGCGGCTTTCGGCTGAGGCGAGCGCTTCCTCTGTGTCGGAGTAGTCTTCGTCTTGGATGGCGGAGATCGGGAGCGCTGGGGTCAGGCCATCGACTAGCTGGGAGAGGGCGTCGTCTAAGCGGCGCGCGCGGGCAGGGTTGCGGGCTGGGTTTGACATTCTCTGCCCGGTGCCCTAGTGGGCGAATTGGTCGGGGTCTTGTATCTGGAAGTGCTTGGCGTCTGTGGGTGCTTTGTTTGAGATATTGTCGGACAAGAGATTACGGTCAGGCAGCGGGTTTGGGGTGAAAATGTCGCGAATCAATTCTGACACTAGATTGTATAATTTTAATGTATGCCTGAGGTGAATATTTCAATTCGGATCTCAATAGAAGCAACGCGGACTCAAGCTTGAAGCTTGAGTGTTTGTGTTTGAGATGTTTGGCGCGTGTGGGTGCCAATTTCCTAAGGCACCACGATCTTATCGTCCTATCGCTAGTTATCAGAGTCTTTACCCGATATGAATATCCCTGTCATATAAAACTTCAAGGTTGCTCTTACGACACATCTCGGCTCACAACTCCATGTCATTCCATTGTGACATAGCTCTTCGGGCTAAATTGCAAGAATTTTCAATGAATCCCCTCACAACAATTGAATATCTGCTTGAGCCTACCTACACACTTCAAGAAGACCGGAGCGTGGCCTTCACCGGGCAATCATGGAATATGCGCAAGGGACTTGGATTTTTCGGTCTGAATTCCAGCGATTATTGGGCTCAGGCTAAGCTAATGCACAGTCAGAGCGCAACCAAGGTGCATGCATCATAGGGGCTATGATTCGGGGCAAATCCTCGTAGACCCGCTATAGTGACGTCCATAAGTCGTTCATACAAGATCTGTAGGATTTGGAGCCCTAGAGGCCCTAACTAAAAAATCATTGATTGATTTTATTCCTGTTTTATCTCTGTTCTTTATATGTTCTTCCATTTCTCTTCCCATGTCCATACTTTAATAAACCAAATGTACAATCTCCTAGTATGGACACAGGAACATCTACCTCTGCCAACGCTCGGCCATGTTTCCGACTTCTAGGTAATGCAAAGCTCAAATTACTCGCTGTATTCTTGACGACCTCGACAATCCTCCTACTCACACTATATTCGGGGGGCTTGTCCGAAAACATCTCACCTAGCGCGAAAGACGAGCTAGCGAATGAGAAAGACTACTGGACATGGGAAACGAGCACTCGATTCCAGAAATCCAAGCATGAAAACGACAGCAATGACACTGGGAAGTCCCAAAATGCGACCTGTGACACATTCCCGACAGACGTGCTATCGCGCGTCCAGATCATCTTAAAGACCAGCGCAACCGAAGACCCAAAACGAGTCGATACACACATGGCCTCTGTAACCCGCTGCATTTCCAACTTACTAGTTGTGTCCGACAAAGAGACCGAGCTCCATGGCCATCGCGTACACGATGTCCTAGCCGATCTACCACCTTCAGCTCGGGATCTGATTCCGGAGTTCGAAGGGTATGATGCGCTCCAACGCGGGGAGAGTAATGTCGACGGCGCGACGGGCTGGAAACTCGATCGATTCAAGTTTCTTCCTATGGTGGAGCGGGCTAGAAAAGTCAACCCCGGCGCGGAGTGGTACGTCTTTCTCGAGACGGATACTTACTTCGTATGGGATAACCTGTTCCGAATGCTGGGACAGTTCGACCCATCCTTCCCTCTGTATATGGGCTCACCGGCGCCGGGCCGCGATATCGGTAATGGAAAAGTCAACTGGTTTGCATACGGCGGCTCGGGCTTCGTGCTGTCCAGAGCTGCGGTTGATATATTGACAGCGCGGGAGGTTGGTAAATACGGGCAGTTTATTGGGCAATCGCTCAGCGAACAGTATATGCAGACGGTGAAAGATGACTGCTGCGGCGACTCTGTGCTTGGATTTGCGCTGTGGGAAAAGGGTGTTGAGTTGTCTGGGATGTGGCCGATGTTCAACGCGCATCCGCTGGACTCAATTCCTTTTGGCGACGAGCATCACTGGTGCCAGCCTGCGATCAGCATGCATAAATCTCGATTGAGTGATATGACCGGGTTGGCGAACTGGGAAGGTGAGCGGGATAGAACGGTATGATTCGGTTTGCTGAACCTAGTGGTACACACATGCACATGCTAATCCATTTCAATTCAGAAGCCCTTACTATACGCAGACTTGGTTGATTACCATCGCCTCGGACAGTTGCCAGAACGGAAAGGATGGGATAATGGAGCCTGGGGTGGGATTATCGAACATCCTGATACTCTGCCCCAGCATGGGTCATTAGAAGCCTGTCGACAGGCATGCTATGACAGGGATTGGTGTATGTCTTACACTTATGATACCGCCGGGGCCTGTGTGTTTGTGCAGAGCTTGCGACTTGGAGCTGCTAGCAAGCTGGAACTTGCGGACCAATTCACGGCTGGATGGGACAACGACAAAATACAAAATTGGCGGGCAAGCAATAAGTGTGAAAAGCCCATGTGGATGAAGCCGAGTTTGACGAGAATTTTCTGAAGCGCTTTAGGTACACGACTTCGAAGTGATTTGATATACGTTAATAATGGATATACGATGTCTGAGGATACATATAATTCCTACAGATCCCAGGGCTTAAGAGTTGCAATCATGAAATACAACGACCCTCTACATCCAGCGATGTACCGGATGAAGATCTATGAATCTATAACGTGACACTTTCAAAGCGATTGTCGATTCATTTGCCCAACCGTCTGGTTCAAAGAAACTAGTCAAAACACATCAAAAAATCACAAAGCCATCCGTACGCCGCCCAGGAATCATGTATTTCGACACAAGCAACCCACAAATGGGAAAACAAACAATGCACCGAAGTGCCCTCAAGTATTAGACAAGCGAAAGGTAAAGAATCCTCGGGGCCATCAAGGACAAGGATTAAAGAAAAGAGAAAGAGAAAGCGAAGAAGGGTAAAAAATACAACAAGGGAAAGGGGAACGTCATAAAAGCAGAAAGAACATCAACCTCAAGGTAGCCATAAGTAGAAAGAAGAAAGCATCTCATACGCCGGATTGACACACCCTCAAAAAAAGGTCATTCCAGACCACCAAGTTAGTCCGTCCATTTTTGAGTCGTGAGGATCATTAACACCTGCCCATGCCAAAACAGTCGGCGTAGCCTTAGCCGAAAGAAACCGCGAGTAAAACAAACTCCTAGGAAGAAGAGATCAACCGCCGGTATAGCGGTGAACTGAATTTCCTACATGCGGCGAAAAGCAAGATAGGTATCTTGAGATGAGAAACAAAGCCTGTTTTCTCACCGACGCATGCCCTGAGTAGGGATGCCGCCCTGCATACCCATGTTGGGCGGCATGTTATACCCGTGGTGATCGTATCCGGCTGACATGCCGTTCATCATAAGGGGACCGAGCCCTTGAGCCTGGGAGACCGGGCAGTCTTTGTGTGCCAGCAAAAGAGTCTTGAGGTTGACAATCTCTTCACGTAGTTGAGTCACCGTCGCAGTAAGGGCATCATTTTCTGAGGTGAAAAGCTCCACCTTGTTTTGAAGGTTAGCCAGCCACTGCTTCTTCCGTTGACGACATTTCAAAGCCGCGACACTGTGTACAAATTAGCATTTCAAGTTCCTGAATGTAAGGTGGTCATTCATACCGATTCCGCTCTAGGAAATTGCGTCGTTTCTCCTCATCGGTCATCTTCTTGGTATCCATTGGGAATTGCTTCATATCATCGTCGTCTTCGTCCTCGTCATCCATATCCGAAGGCATATCCATGTTGGGTTTAGCCCTTTTGTTGGAACCCTTCGGGGCCTCTTCGGCCTTGCGGCGGTTATTGGTGGAGCCCTTGGTGTTCTTTTTGCCCTTACCCTTGGCGGGTTTGGCGGATTCACGATCAGATGCATCCCCAACACTGGTACCGTTGGTGTTCTGGGAGACACGTCGGGCAGCTGCGGATCGAGCATCATTTGACATTTGGGCATGGTTCATTGGCGCATTGTTGGCCTGGCCACCCTTGGCCAGCATGAACAGTCCGTTCGCCGCATCTGCCGCGTCATGCTGAGTGAAGTCAGCCGGCCGAGCTGGCTTTACTTCCATATTGACAGCCGCCTGGTCCTGCTCATTGGGGTTGGAGGTGGGAGCATTTGAATTGTTCTTCTTCGCTGTAAGTGCGGTGCGGTGGAAATCAATGGTGGAAGGAGTGGCGCCACCGTTCTGAAGTTGTTGCAAGAGCGCCTGTGAGTTGGGACTGGGGGCCGGGAACATAGAGCCTCCACCCCCCGGTGTCAGTCCCGTGCGGAGGGAGGACTCGTTCGGGGTAGGGAAGCCGCGACCGATGCTGTCAAAGTAGTCATTGGGGCCAGTGGGCCCGGGGAGCATAGCCGGACTGAGAGGACCCGCGCGTAGGGAGTTGTTCCAATTGTAACCACTTGACGAACTGGTGCCAGGTAAGGCCGGTGAAGTCAGGGCAGCCACCGAGGGAAGAAGCGATTTGCCTGGGGTGTCGGCCGGATTCCCTCCAAAGGATTGCTCAAATGGATTGGGCTCGAGGGAGAAAGGATTGTGCATGGAATTGAAGTAGTCCGGAGTATCAGACGCAGTAGGCGCACCCGGTCGTGGAGGTGGCGCCAACGAGGTCTGAGTCTCTAGGTTAGATTTCTGGTCCTTTGACGCGGCCTGCGAGTCTGGCGGAGAGGTTCGAGTTAGCAACGCGCCAAGAATTAATGCGATCGCAAATAGGTACCACTGCGGTTTTGGGATCGAGCCGGTGGCTTCATTGTGTGTGGAATATGCATGTGTTGGTGGGGAGGAAATCAATGACGCCAGTGGGTGAAGTCATCGCGACGGCAAAGGACTTGGGGGGAATTTAAGGGTCGGGGAACAGTGGCGTATTACCAAACCAAAAAGGGGACTTTTCTTTTTTGGAAGTTTAATGCAGAACAACATAAAACGAGGGCAGCAGCTCCATAAAATCGCATATCACAGTATGGTAAAGCAAAAGTACGAAGGAAATGCGCAAAAAAAAGTGTCGTGACACGAACCTTCTTTTTCTGCCTTCTTCGAGTCCATAGGGGATGAAGACATGTTTGATCGCAGAGTCGATATGGCTGGGGCGACCAGAGCAGACATTTAGCTGGGATATAATGGATATAAAATCGGTGAAGCCAAACAAACAATGGCTTCTAGATAGTCGGAGAGAGAGTGAGAGGAAGAGAGTGACGTAGGGGGAAGAGGGATATGATGAAATTTAGGGAATTTGGGGGTTTTGCTGATGAAAAAAACAGAATTACGGTCATGTATTGTATTGGAATCAGAAACGGGACGGATTCTGTGTGTATTCAGCATAAATGACGGTAACTGGCTTTCTCCGAATCAGGTTGGCTGTTCGTCTCCACCAGAGACACATTATTGTGTTCCTTTTCTGCTGTTCCACATCCACGTTGTTCTACTATCTCAGACATTCTACGTTCTGTACCATGAGGAACCCCTACACCCTTACCTCGGATCTTCACCATACGGCAGAGGACCAATTGGATATACCAATCCTCATTTGCCAGTCTAGCTGCGAGAATATCAAGTCGACGCTTGCATCTTTGATACGGAGTTTCCAAGGTTGGTCTCTGGGTATTATATCCATTATGTCACGGTGACGACAGAAATCTCTCCCGCTGTGGGCCATCCACCCTCTGACAGCCAATCACAAACCATTATTCCCCAGTGCCAAGGCCAGGGATATCAGCTAACCCGTAGAATGCGGTGAAAACGATGACGCAATCGATAGCACGTGAGGGCTCTACCATGGAATTCTAGCTAGATATCTTGATCTTCAGATATGTAGAACGTTGATAGACAGACTATACACATGTTGGCAGGGTAGTAGATGCCAAATAGGAGACAGCGAGGGCTCTACTACATCGTACCTGACCGAGATCTGTATGTGTAAGCTTGTACAACCCCATGTAAAATTATTAATCAGCGACCCACCTGGTATCCATGGATGGATACCCCGTACGCGTCGTATTCATACGGAGTTCTCCGTATTATACAAGTTCGAGATCGCGTCCACTCGGTTGTACAGTACCCAAATACATAACATTGCTATTGACTCTCTTCTGACGGGCCCTGGTCTGATGCAATAGGCTAATCCCATGTAGAAAGGGGATTTTCTTACTGTACTGTACCCGGTAGCTGGTACGAAGTAATAATCTTATATTAACCAACTAGTTAGGAGTGTCGCGAGAACGTGTGGTCCATTGCATACATCGTGTCAATCTTAAATTGAACGCCAATCCTTTCGATCGTTACAAATAGTGATCTAGCCTAAATTAGCCTTTACTCACTATGCCATTGGGTCGGTTTGAGGATAGGCTGTTCCCACAACGGGAGAGACACTTCCCCACAGTCTTGGTATGCTTCAACCTTGATTGTACGTATATGCATCACCTGTCTATTGTGAAGTAGGGTGCTCTAAGTGGAATTAGCTTAATTGAAATACATATTGAAGCTAATATGTCTTTTGAAATAACGACCTCATATCAAATAGTATAAGATGTTACGGATGAAACATTACTTCCAGCAGTATAGCAGAAACCAACACAGTCGAGATACTAGGCGATCCATTTAACAAGCTTCAAGAGTAGGCTGCCCACTCGAGCTCTTAGCGGCATATAGCTGCAATATCAACTACCTTCAATGCATGACTTACTCCGCGGTATAACTGCTGAAGATAGGAAAGCCCGAAGTATGACAAGATCTTCAGTGTAGGAGTGGTTCGTGTGCGGTTTCTTTTTCCGAGAGCAAGTGGACGTTCGATATTACATCTCCAGTAAAGCCGTTATCCTCGCCTTCCTAAATAGGCAGGCACCCCAAAGTCTACACATACCTAGAAGCGCAACCGATTAATGGAACCACAGCCAAGATTTACGCTTGGAAATAACACATTCAATAGAGATAGTCCATTGACATAGGAATTATATCTATCAAGCCCTGGAAAGATTGGAATATTTACAATTCCCCCATCGTTAAAGAACCCTCAATTATACCACAACTTCACGAACCCCGGTAGGTCGAGTAGTTCCAAGGACCCAGCAGGACAGGAACATGATAATGGCGCCAGCCCTCCTCGCCCTCGCGACCCCGTCCCTTGACAGTGAACTTAACCTCAACCTCAGGCCAGAAGCTCTCGACGCCCTGGGCCTCATACCAGGGACCCACGTCGAAGCGCACAGACCAGTTGGTCTTGCTGTCTGCAGCAGGCAGCGCAGCCAAGATAGCAGGTACGGACTCCGAGGCTGTTCCGACGGGCGTCCAGTTGGCAACGCGGCCGTCGGCGTTGGTGGTTGCGCGGAATGAGATGCTGCTGGCGGTGGATGCAGGCGTGGAGAGGAGAGTCAGGGTCACGGGCAGGTTGGCTGCGGGTGTCCCTGATAACGTGTTGAGGCAATGGCAGGTGATGGGATCGCGCGCTGCCATGGTGGTGGTGGGTTGCTTGATTGGGTTTGCGTCTTTGGTGTGCGGGGCCGGGGAGATTTGTTGCTGATAAAGTGCGAGGCGGTTGGTGGTGCGACCAAGTTGTTGGTTATTTTGAGGGGAGTCCATTCATTCAAATGGTAGAGGGAATATAGGAGAAGAAGAGAAGAGGGGAGAAAGAAATACAGAAGGAGGAGAGCTCGACATTGCTATCAAAGGTTCATCGGAGGATACCGATGGCCGCGGAGAGTGCCATGCAGCTATTAATTGGGGGTCTATGACTTGCGCATGTATGCTGTATAGCTTCTTCGCTTCTCCTCTTTATGACTATCTATAGGAAATAGAATGATCTCTATTTTGACAGCTTAAATGCGACTTTGGATTCGAGGACAAAGAGCTTCAAGTGCCATAGAAACCTTTCGAATTACTAGTAGAATAATCATGATCATCAGGAGCCTGCCTAACCATATATATTGAATCCAAGTCAATTGTACGATAGAATTAGAAAAACATCCAAAACGACAAAGTTGAAGCGCATGATGTGAAAGTCTTGTCTTCCGGAAAGTTCGATTTGCGGGGCTACTTCGCCTTCAACTTCCCAACTTCGCAACATTCAGAACTTCAACAAATCATACACAATGTCCGCCGTGGTACATAGCGATGACCTCGACATGGAGCCTACGCTCCAGTCGATTCTCAACCAACACACTCTCCGTTGGATCTTCGTCGGAGGAAAAGGAGGTGTGGGTAAGACCACCACCTCGTGCTCGCTGGCGATCCAGTTGGCCAAAGTTCGCAAATCCGTCCTGCTCATTTCGACCGATCCCGCACACAACCTGAGCGACGCTTTCGGCCAGAAGTTTGGAAAGGAGGCCCGCCTGATCGATGGCTACTCAAACCTGAGCGCGATGGAGATCGACCCCAATGGGAGCATCCAGGATCTGCTCGCCACCGGAGATGGTCAGGGCGAGGATCCCATGGCAGGATTGGGCATGGGAAACATGATGCAGGATTTAGCATTCAGCGTAAGTGCTATGTCGCTGTCGCGTAATACTCTACGTGTCAATCTAACTCTTGGTGTTACCAGATTCCCGGTGTTGACGAAGCTATGTCCTTCGCCGAAGTCCTGAAGCAGGTCAAGTCGCTTTCCTACGAAGTCATCGTGTTCGATACCGCGCCGACCGGCCACACCCTTCGATTCCTACAATTCCCCACCGTGCTCGAGAAGGCGCTCGCCAAGCTCTCCCAGCTCTCCACCCAGTTCGGTCCGATGCTCAACTCGATTCTGGGTGCTCGTGGCGGTCTACCCGGGGGTCAGAATATGGATGAGTTGCTGCAGAAGATGGAGTCGTTGCGCGAGACTATCAGCGAGGTCAATACGCAATTCAAGAACCCAGACATGACCACCTTTGTGTGTGTATGCATTGCAGAGTTCTTGTCGCTCTACGAGACGGAACGTATGATCCAAGAATTGACCAGCTACAACATCGACACCCACGCAATCGTTGTCAACCAGCTCCTATTCCCCAAAGAAGGAAGCAGTTGCGAACAGTGTACTGCCCGGAGAAAGATGCAGAAGAAGTACCTCGATCAGATTGAGGAGCTCTATGAGGATTTCAATGTGGTGCGCATGCCAATGCTTGTCGAGGAAGTGCGTGGGAAGGAGAAGTTGGAGAAGTTCAGTGAGATGTTGGTGACTCCATACGTGCCTCCGCAGTAAAGGCGATGTCGAGGCGAGATATTTTGTTTTCGCTCATGTCGGACGAATTATGAAAAGACTAGAGAATATTACGTGAAGCGTTGGCCTTCTGTGGACTAAGATTGGAACCCATGTAGAGCATCAGGACATGAATTCATGCATATTCTGTCGCATCTTGACTGACCTGTGATGAAAGTTTGACCACATCTCGGTCGATCGGAGATACAACACAATCCTTGTCAAATGACATTGGACCTAATATATATCTGCGAGAGGGGAACTCCAATCGTTCCCTAAACTCGTCTCCATCTACCACGTGTTTCGACCACCCCCCATATACAATATGATCTTGGCAATTTAGAATGCATGCCCTCGAAGCAAGTGTATGCCCAAAAGCGAGAGATGCAGATGTCCTCGCTGCAGCTCAGTGGTCCCCGCGATCTCACGGCCACAATCCGTGGTGCCACGACACCACCGCATCAAGAACCAATTTGGCCCTGCATAGATTTGATAAAATCTGCGGTGAGAGAAAAGCAGACGTCAGAAGTCACTTCCACTTTCAAATATTCCTACAGGTACTCGTTTTTAGGGAAATACTCCCGGAGTAGTCCAATTCTATGCGCCCTGGGATTGATTCGAGCCCGATGCTCCTCCATGCAAGCCTCACTTTTGTCCAAGACAGGGCCCTTGTTACTCTATAGTAAGGAGTGGAAAAAGTGGGCAGACCAGGATCCCGTTTCATCCTGACGGTCAGAAGCTCTAAATTGACACACATCAAGGTAGGGGAAAAAAGGGTTGGGCCTCGTTGGCCGATAAAGTGAGGCGGTTCTCTTGTCCTCCGCCCCCGAACGTTCCGACATGAACCCTCCCCTCGAGGGGAGGACGCAGAATCTGAGCCGTCTCTGGTGATTTCCTGGTTTCCCATTCTTCTTTCCGCCTTCCGTGGAGACTCGCTCCAGAGTTACCGGATTCGTGGGTATGTGGTTGGTTTAATTTGCCTATGTGCAGCCGACCTGGTGGATCGTGCTGTTGGAAGAAGGGGGGGATACGCGGTCCCCTCTGCCGTTGACTTGTTGTGAAACCATATTCCGAAGGATCAAGGTTGGAGATTAGTGCATTTCCGATAGAGATCTGTCTTATTCGTCTCCGTCTCTGGTGGGATTTCTATTCGATCAACCAGAGTATCAACCAACATATTTATACTCCAAGTCTCGTCCTTCGGAGCTGTGCCAAAAGTCCCAAAAAGAGCTTCCAAGCACGGACCGTGTCGAACTAGCAACCCTAGCCCTTACTTCGCCTCGCCTTGACGCCTCACCTCTTAGCCCTGGCAATGTCTCCCGTCCAGCAATACTGGCTTCCGGGATATGGGTTGTCCCGACATATTGTCCTAGGCCATATCCAGTACTTTCTTGGACCAACCGCAACAGTCAGACCCTACAGTTACCAGGTATGTCTTGCCATTGCTTCCACTACACCTTCTCTATAGCCTGTTCTAACCAGTTACCATTGCAGGGGCGCGAGGGTTATCTCATCAATGGCGTGCCACTCACGCGGGTTTGTTTCCCCCATCTTTATTTAAGCATGAATTAAGATTGGAAAGAGAGAAAGAGAAACCAAACATTACACACCACTAACGCATCCAAACAGGAACAAATTGATGATCTTGCGGTAATGTCCCGCGAGTATGAGAAGCAAGAAGCTACTCGCATGGCCCACAATACCAGCGGCGCCTCGACTTCTAGCCCCAGCAGCGACAACCCGGCAGCTCAGTCTGAGCCATACATCAATGAAATCATCCCTATTAACCAACCGGGAACACGCAGGCCTGCAGACTCGCGAGGCGGTCGTTGAGACCGACGTTATTCCATTGCTTCCGTCCATTGGACTCGGTGTTCCTTTTCCAGCCCTGGGCTCCGTTCTAGGATTCCGTCGGCCAGCGAACATCATGAGGATGGAACTCCTTGTATGGCCTGCTCTGTTTAGCCTTCGTTCCCCGGGGGCTGGCCACATGGATATCCAAACCCTGAGTTCTGTTTCCCAGGTTCCCAGGTGAATACTTGAATCGCAAAGCCACCGGATGGACCAGTGGATGGAAAAGAACACCAATCCTGGAATGGGAGCGGCTGTTGTGGGCAATAGCGGTAGCCCTGTTTTGAGCATGTGCCTTTTGTTTCGTTCTGATATACCCTTCTTTCAACCCTTTTAGTTTCTTATAGGTCAAATTTGATTTTATACATTTGAATTCGGGATTCGGGACTGTTAGCATATAACAGATTATAAGCTCGACTGATATTTTGGGGCTGGGAGCGGAATGATCCTCAACTATGGCTGGAATAGGATATAAACGTCAAACGAGTATTATGCTGACACCCAGAATAGAATCAATATATTTAGTTCTCCAACGCTGATATGATATAGTTACTAGGTATCAATAACATTCTATGTTGAAAACAAGGATACTTCGGAACAAATATTGCCAAGAAAGACATCATCTTTCACTCATCTCTATAGACCATTCGTAACAGCATAGATAAATCAGACCCTAAGATCAAAGAGCCTACTACATCATATCTCCATCTCTCATCTTTTTTTCCCCTCCAAAGATTCGACGGGGGGCGCCATGAGTCTCTGGCTGCTTTTGGGGACCCTCCCTGTAAACCTCCAGGGTCAGAAATGGCCAATACATAAAGAGGATCTGACACAGGAAGTAAAAATATGGGGAGAGAGTGATTGCATAAGAACTGCAAGACTAAAGAGGTAAAAGAAATAAGTGTGGACCCCCGAAAAAACGCCAGCCGGATGCCACTCTGCATGAGGTCCCCAAACAACCGTGTTGTGACCTACACGGGGGGATCACTGGAAAAAAATGGGGCAGGCAGAAACAAGTTGGAAATCACATAACAGAGAGAATTTCAGTTTTCAACATCAAGGTCATGCGGGTGCTTTTTATTTTGCAACAGCCGAGCTCAAGACTTGTGTGCGGAAGAAGGCACCCTTGGTCTTCTCAATGACTTGCTGGTAGACCGACTGAGGGGGGTGGTTCATGATAACAGTGCCCTCCTTGTAATCGATCTTGGCGTCAACCCGGGTGTCGCGAATAAGGTTGACAATCCACTTCTCACCCTCGTCCTGGTTGAGACCGAGGCGGGCGGAAAGGTCCCTAAAAAAGAAACCGTTAGTCTACTGTTCGTGCCGATTTCCCCAATGTAAATAACTTACTTGATGTCGATACGCTGGTGAATCTTGCAGTAGCTCTCGGAGATGAGATGGCGGGCAGCGTCAACGAAAGCGTCGGCAGCCGACACAAGGAAGAAATCGCTGCGCAGCACATCCTCTGCCTCGCCGAGCTTCTTCTGTGCTTCCTCGAAATCGAAATCGACGTAAAGGGCCTTGACGAAATCGGTGACGGGGTCGGTGTACTCGTAGTCCTCCTGGCGCACAACGCGGATCAGATCCTTCAACTGCTTCTGGTAGACACCGGAGTGCTTGTGGGGGCGGCTGCGGTTGGTGATGACAGCGGCAGCAAGGTACCGCAAAACCCAAGGGCAGCTGGTCTGGATGGTGTTGATGTAGGCGGGAGAGAAGAAGAGGTCGGTGAGGACGTCGCGGGCGGGGTCGTGGTTGAAGAAGGGGAACAGCGACCAGTGAATGAGCCACGAGCGGTTGTTGAGCTGAGCCAGGGGGTTGTTGAACAGGCGAGTCTCAATTGAGTCCTTGACCTTCTGAACCTCCTCCATCGCACCCTCCCAGTTGGTGGTCAAGATCTCTGATGCGAGCTTACCCCATGTGGCGGCGGCAACCTTGTCGTTGTCGGTGGACAGAACACGGAACTGGTAAAGCAGTTCAGCGGCATTTCCATAACTGCCGCAACTGTACTGGAACCGTCCGTAGTCGTAGAGAGAGTTGACCATCTCGTTAGTGACACCGTGCTGCTCCTCGAGGAACCGCAAGTTGGCGGCCTTGTCGCTTCGTAGGTTGCCCACGACCTCCTCATCCTGCAACAATTCGGAAATCTTCTCGCTCTGATCCTGGTAATGCTGTAGCTTGGCCAGAACCTCCTCGCGCTTCTTCACAAACTCCTCGGGAATCGTGTCGGAATCGTTGATCTCCTGCCACAAGTTGGCGACGTAGTCGGTCATGTTGGTGTGCTTCAAGAGCTCGTACTTCGCCCGAGTAATTTCCTTATCCTCCTCATCACCGGTAGCGCTGAATTCGAGTAGGGGGAAGACGAGGTGACGGTCGAGGTACGGGATGAGTCGGGGCAGCAAATCATGCTGAGAGGCGATATCCTCGGCGGTCTTAGGCTGGTGAGCAGCAGCTCCGCTGAGCATAGTCTCCGCGGTAGGGGGGGCGTTGTCTGCCATATTGGATATCAAAAGATGGCAGAGGGGGGTAAAAGGTCTAGAGGGGGATACAAAGGCCAACCGCGATCAATGGAGAATTTGCAGATTGTGCGGGCGTCGGTGGCCCTAAACCCTTTTTGGAAGTGGGTGCTGGGAAAGCGGTGGCAGAAAATCTGAGCAGAGGAGCATCTGATGTCGCTCTCCGATCTTCCCAGTCTCTGCCTTGATATCCCCATATTCTCCAACCAGGTCCTTTCTTTGTGTCCTTTAGAACGCAAGAAATGCCGTCTCTTCTATACTCTAGCCCGCCCTCGGCCATGCGAAAGCAGGTCTCGGCCATTCCTCTTCGCGTCAACTCTGCGCAGTCCGTGGCTTCCGTTCAGACATGTAGTTCATTTTCCACATTATGTCCTCAGGCAAGGCTGAAAGCTTCACGTACGTTACTTTTTGCTCAGTCTTATTGTGATTGCTTGATCTCCTAGGAACTACAAGAGCAAAGCCGAACCCTCGGGTTCTGTATTGTCTTGTAACCAACAAAGAGAGAAAGAAAATGACAAAAAAACACGCATCTATGCTGTGTCGGTTTCGTTTCGACCGAGGAAACGGCGCATGACTAACCCTTCATCTCAGATCGTCCTCAATTCTCCCTCCCTACTCTTCCTACCCGTCAAAGCCGTACCTTTCTCGCTCAGCTCGGCCGTCAAGCGCAAGCCCTGAAGCAACAATCTAACACCCCATCGGCGGCCCCATCCCCAGCCACATCAGACAAGAAATCCAGTCCGACCCTGCAGCTCACCAATCTCCCCTATTTCGTCCGTCGCACTGCCTCCAATCAGCTGCCTGTCTACGTCGTCACAAAGGCCGGCGGTACCAAACAACTCACCAAGCTCCAGAAGACCGAAGGCGATCTAGTCGCGCTCCGGAACGACCTGGCTTCTGCCCTGGGTGTTGTTGATGGAAACAAGCCCAATCCGGATGTTAGTCTCAACCAATTGACTGGCCACATCATTGTCAAGGTATGTTTGCTTTACAGTGCAATTAACTGTCATGCGACAGAAACTAATATATTGGTTAGGGCTGGCGCAAACCTGAGATTTTGAACTTCCTCAATGAGCGGAAATTCTAAATGCTCTCTTCTCTTACACCTCAAATTTCATCTCATGCGCTCGCAATTGAAGGTCTCACCAATATTTCGAGCGGTCCAAGATTCACTCTCAAAAAGCATCATCATACCTCTTTTGCGAGGGGTATTCTAGAGCATACTTCTCGGAGAGAGCAAGAATCACATCACGTCGAAAACAAGGGAGGGGAAAGAAAGAAACGAACGCTCACGATGGTCCCTGATGTGGATGGATATTATCTATTTCCTTGATCTCTTCTTCCTCTTCCCTCGGTGCATACCTTAATCTCGTTGCGGGTTGTTTTTCTTCCTTTTCTCCCTTTTCATTTTCATTTGGTGTTTGTCTCTTGTTTATCCGGTCGTGTCTTCTGGCGTCCACCTGCTTTTTTTTTGTTTTTGTTCCCCTGCTTTTCCCATCTGTAACACCCAATCTGTACATTTTCGATGACTCTATGGATGCTAGTGCTTTTATATTGAAATGACTACATGCATTTCCATTCGGAAATCTCTCGGGAAACTCGTATTGGTGCGCAGTATGTTTGCTCCTGTCTGCAATTAGAATGTAGGCCACGACCTATTTAATACTATGCCTGACGAGCGGATGGAATTGAGGGCTGTCTCTGTTGAAAACTTCGATGTAGCTGGGTTGAACTACGAATGTGAATCTACAAATTAAATGGGAACAATGGGCAATCAATCATGATGCAAGTATCTCTCGATTTGTGTCGAGGGTATTTTGAGCATTGTACACCGAATCAGAACAGAACGCTATCTCACGAGAACAAAAATAAAATCCCCATCACCCACCAGCGCCCAAAAGATAAGAATAGAAAGACTGACAGTCGACATGAGAGTACAAATGACATGAGAGAAAATCAAGATTGTCGTATATGCTAAGTGGAAGAGGATCCGATTCCTCCAAAGGCGGGACTGGAACGAAACCAACCTGTCACCAGCGCATTGGAGGTTCATGCAGACATCATTTACTCCGCCAACCGAGCATATGTGAGGAGTTGGCGAACAACACCACCATCGATGTTGGGGAGGAGTAGTGCACCTAGCAGACTTTCTTTTCTGGGAAGGATTCCGGATGGGATGTTAAGAGGGGAGGTGTTGTCGACTTGCTTTGATTTTTCGGCGAGTCGGCGTAGAATCCCCAGTCCTCGATTGACAATCGAGCTGAAGGCATATGCGTCGGCTTCGGCCTGGCTTCTTTGCCGCATGTTGATTTGTGGGATTCGTTCTGTGCACAGTGCGCAGGAAAGTCGCAGGAGATGGACAGCGAACCCATCAACTGACTCAAGCCATGCTTTGGCAAGAGAGCCATCGGCAAATGTGGTGAGAACATCGGCCGACAAAAGACCTTGCATCAAAAACACTTTGCGTGCGTCCACAACAGCCATGGGCTTTTTGTCGGGGACACAGGATATGGCAAGCCCAAACGCGCGGGTTAACAACTCTGGCTGGGGAGGTGCAGACCCATCACCAGAGAAGATGGCTTTGAAGAAAGTTCGGTTCGGGTCATCTCTAGCCAACATTTTGGCCAGCCCGTCAACGGCAGCTGGGGTGTATCGATCAACCGAAGAGTTGAATGCAGTAAACATCACTTTTCCAGCGGGTGATATGGGTTCAGGTTCAGGCGAGAACGCCAACAAGAAAATCAACAGATTCAGCGCCTCGTCCTTGCCGGGAATTTGAACAACATGCGCCAAGTTACTCAGCAAGATCACTGCATCCTTCATAAAATCTAACGTGTTGTGGCTTGTCCGCAGGAACATCTTGCGAGTTCCCATGTAACGAAAGACGGAGGAAAACAGCTGAGCGACAGGAGGGATACCGAGAGATAAGAAATTCGTCTCGCTAAACGAGAAATTGCGCAGGATAGTGGTGATACAGATGAGTCGATCGACGGCCCGGTCTAGTTCGTACTCAATACTTCCAAATTCGGGAACATCTAAAAGCGATGTGTTTTCAGACTGGCAGTCCCGTGTGACTTGATCATAGGAACGGAGAGTCATAGTATCCGACTCTTCCAAGGTGTGCTCTGCTAGAAGGTCGGCCTGGTCTTCAGCGCAGTCGATCAGGCTCTCTACCAAGTCATCACAATTCTCCAATGATATCTGAACAGATGGTTCACCAGAAAGTGTTGTGAGGGTATCCAAAGCAACTCGTATCTCCGCGTAGATCCCGGACTTGAGCGCCATTGTCAAGGCGTGGATATCGACAATTCCTAGTTCTGCAAAGCCTGGCACATCTGGCTTTAGCCTCGAAATATCCTCGCCAATCTGATACATCTCATCAACGGCAATGGGCCCGTGGAATCGGTTTCCTTTCAGAACCATGGGTTTGAAGGTTTCCTCAATAGGGCGTTTTACCAGCTGCTCGGATTTTTGTTCTTGTTGTCCTGGCTGCTGTTGGCCCGGAACAGGCGTAACACCCTTCACAGATTGGGGAGAAGGAGCTGCGAACTGTCCGGTGGCTTCGGTGAGTGGAACAGCTGGTTGCGACGCCCTCGAGATGCTTGACCGGTGTCCGGCCTGTGCTGGCCTGCTTTGGCTTCGTGCGTGCGTTGGCGTTGCAAATCCATTCACTGGGGCATTATTATGAATTGGCGTGTGATTCTGGGGGGACTGTGCTATCGCCTGGGCCTGCTCAAAGCCTGGATTAGGCTTCACTGAAGGAGACTGGAATTGACTAGGCGGCCGCTGTATGCCGCCATGATGTTGCAGTTGTTGCTGTTGCTGCTGCTGCTGCTGCTGTTGTTGTTGCTGCTGCTGTTGCTGTTGCAATTGTTGCTGCTGCTGTAATTGCTGCTGTTGCATTTGCTGCTGCTGTTGCTGCATGTGGTCCGCCATTTGTTTTTGTTGTGAGCTGATGAAAGCTTGTTCGTAGGGAGCCAAATTCCTTGAGTGGTGAGCTTGAATCTCCTGGGCAGCCATAGGAAATTGCATCTGGGGAAATTGCAGCTGATGTGCAACTGCTGGCCACATATTCGTTGCTGTGACCTTTTTCGACCCTCCCATCTTCATCACGGTGGCGTAGAGCTGAACGAGGTTGATCGGACGTCCACTGACAATAGGATTTGTGTCCACAGAAAGATTCTGGCTCATCATGAATTTTTGCAATGAGCGCAAAAATCCTTCCGGGTTACTGGGTTTTGGGACGTTCGACTGCATGTTCGGTGGCATTTGTCTCATACCCTCCATGGACTGCTGAGGATTACCCATCGGGTTCATGCCTCCTTGAACCTGCCGTCCAGCCATCGTGGCATTGGGATTCATCCGTGACTGTTGCTGCATGGCATGCAGCCGCTGTTGTTGATTCGCTAGAGCTTGATGGTAGCCCTGGGGTACTTGTTGCATGCCATTGAACTGCGGCGCGAGCATCGAGGGTTGGGGAGGTCCCGAAGTCATTCCAAACTGCTGCGCCTGCATAAAGTTGGCGTTCTGGGGCGTATTTACGCGACTGCCGTGATCTGACTGCGATGGGGACATATGGGGTCCGGGGTGCGGACCAGCGGGCGAGAAGGGGCTCGGAGAAGCCGTTCCCAAGCGAGCGCTTTGCTGATCAAAGTCCTGCATAATAGGCGAATGCGTTACATTCGGAGACGCCCCCTGCTGAAGATGCTGGTACGGCGTTGGGTGTTGCGGAAATTGCGGATTGCCGTTGGTCGGTCCTTGATAACCTGGAAACGGCTGGTGAGGGGTCTGAGATCGCGACCCCGTTAAGCCGCCCGGTACTGGTCTTGGCGACATGGGCATACCATCTTCTGGCCGCGCTCGCTTGGATGGAATCACTTGGTTTGGATTGTGGAAGCCTGGGGAGGCGTTCCGCGGCACGCCATTATTGAACATGCGGAATTGAGATGGATCCTGGGGGGTGGGGGAGCCATGAAGGAACGCAGTAGAGGGATCTATAGTGGATGGATGAAAGGCGCCATTATCCTGGCCAGGAATATTCGAGGCGTCGAGCCAGGCATTCATGTCGTGCGGTTTTCCTAACCCATCTACCTAGGACGAGTCAGCACGCGAACATTGGCTCATGCAACCATCGCTACAATGTGCAAATATGTCATCTAAGAATCAAGCAAGTATAGGATTCGATCCAATGATGGACGATCAGGTGGACGCGTCGGGAGTGAGATGTTTGGGAGTCGCGCCCAGACCCGGTCGCGACACGGGTCAAAGAGAAGGTGGGGAGGGAAGGCACAACCATGGGGAATATTAGAGATAATAAGGGGGGGGAAATGAGGGGAGGGAATGAGGTACATACCGATAAGGCTGGAGTGACTTGAATTCCGCCTTTTATACGGATGACTGAAGCCGGGTCCCGGAACTGGCAGATGGATATGAAGGGGACAGAGGTTGGCCAGGGAAAGTCACGTGGTGTGGAAACCTAAGGCAACAAACCACGGAGGAGGACGGGAGGCAAAGGCGTCTAAGATGGGATAATGGGGGTGGGAAGGGGGGGGAGGTCAGAGGCTGGGGTAAGCTAAAATGTTAGCAAATCATAGACCAGGAACGTCACTCTTGATCTTTAAAGAGCCAAGCTATAATAATGGGAAGCTCGTTCAGAAACCACGGGGCAAATGACGGTTACAGAACAAGGGCAGGACAAAAGGGGGTGCGTGGCCACAACCCAATAATCTCAATACCGTGTAAATAATAGGAGGAGAACAAGAAAAAAAAGCAAGCGACACGATCCGATCAACCGAAATGGTGTACTTACCAATTCACATCCGTTCAGTTAGGGATGAAGGGGGAAGTGGAGAGAGGAGAGGGAAAATTACTGACAGGTCAGAGCTTTCAGTAACATCAACCCGGAGTCTTGTGCGGGTTACTTGTGTTACTGGGTTAGTTCTTGTCTTTTAGAATCTCGTCCTGCTGCAGTTTTCTTCGTCTTTTCTCGCTCGTCTCTTTCTTTCTCTTTTTTGGGCGTTCATTTTTCCCCCTTTGGGTCTGGATTTCCCATTGGGTTTAGTTATCTTGTTCAGAGCGGGTGTTGCCAGCCTCAACCTGCATATGAAAGAGACTGGCCACACATCGGGGAAAATAATGGGGAAAGCCAGGCAATAGTGGTAATATGAAGGGAATTCTCTTTCTGAAAGAAAAGTCTCATAAAAATCCCCATCTTCCCCTCGGATTTGGTGAATCAGCGAAACGATGATCCATTCCAACGGTCTGCCCGAGTCAGGTTAGATCGTATACTCCAACCCCGATATGGTCTGAGGTTAGCAGCCACCCTAGGGATAAATCCCAATGGGAAAAAATTGCCACGAAAAATGGACTATTTCCAGACCATCATCTGGGGGGAAGGGGAAAAGAAATTATGGAGGAGAGAAAGAGAGAGAAAAGATCTAGAGCCGCGACGGTGGCCAGCGGTTCTCCTTATATAAAGCTCGGGCTAGCGTCTGATAATCATGTCGATGCGCGCCCAATCCTCCGAAATCACCAAAAATTCGAGGTTAACAACTAAGAGTGGATTGACCTGGGTTTTCTAGTCACCCCCGTGCTAGGATCCGACTCGATCCGCGTGGGAAATCATGACGGCTTTGGTGCCTGTCCCACCTACCGTGTCTCGGCCTACTCCACCACTAGAGATGATTGGATCAACTTTTCTTCATTTCCCTTCTGTAGGGCTTCGGGGGGGCGAGCTTGAGGTCATGACTAACTCCAAGGGGACGGATGCGTGTAACTGTCTAAAGGCCCTTGCGCATGGCGGTCCAATATGATATTATCCCACGTCGAACCTGATCAGGTGTCCAAATTGACATACGTTGTGTATCTACATGTCACTAGATGTAACAAATACCCCAGGCAGAGCGTGAGATCCTCGTTATTGGTTCTAAGGCTATATATTCCGCAGTAGCCGCTAGCGTCTGACGATAAATTTGGATTGATACACTCACCTGGACAAGATTAGTACATATTGGGTATCTGGGCACGATACAGGAGGATTATGATTAGAGCTATCAAGGATTTCCAAGGTTCGGTGTAATTTATCCCACAGTTCTGGGTGAGATTATTGCATTGCAAGTTGACGGGCGCTTGGTTTAGTAGTGTACCGTATCGCTAATAATTGCCACAACATTGAATCTTTAACCTTCAAATGATGCGAGTAAACCACATGTACGCCGTATTGTAGAAAATAATGGGACTACCAGGATGTGGGACTTATGATATATTTTTCATGACCCTAACAAACTGGAACTAAATCTACGGAGTACAACGAACTGTTGGCAAGACCAGTCGACATCACGTGATGGATAAGCTTCCTGCCCCATAGCATCGAAAGCTCCAGATGGCTGAACTCCGAGCCCTTCACACAGCGCGTCATTCACCAACCATCTTCAAAGCTCATCACATTTCCTTCCATTTCCAGCTGATACACATACTCTCCTTCCTCATCTTGCTCGCTATCCAAACTATCCACCATGGGAGACGTTGCCGTGGAGTACCCGGCAAACAACGTCACGCCTCTGACCAAACTCGACGCCCTTGCCAACTTGGATTCCCTCGATGGTACAGGGGCTGATGGAAATGATGAATATGCTACCCTTAAGAGGCTACAGAGACATCTCGAGTATGTGTGACCATTATCGGATGGAGTGGTCTGTACTGACGTCGAACACAGGTATATCCAACTGCAGGAGGAATACATCAAGGATGAGCAGAGGTATGCTTATTGAGTTCTGTTATTGAAGATTCGTATCAGTGGCTAACTACCGTCGTCCGATACAGGAGCTTGAAGCGGGAGCTGGTTCGGGCACAAGAAGAGATCAAGCGCATACAGAGTGTGCCATTGGTCATCGGACAATTTATGGAGGCAATCGATCAAAAGTAGGCCTTTTGGTATCTGGATCTCTAGGCGAGATCATCGTTTGCTAACTCACTTCTCTTAGCACCGGCATTGTTCAAAGCTCGACCGGTTCTAATTACGTCGTCCGTATCCTCTCCACTCTCGACCGCGAGAAGTTGAAGCCTTCATCCTCGGTCGCCCTTCACCGCCACTCCAATGCCCTTGTCGATATTCTTCCTCCCGAGGCTGATTCCTCTATTGCGATGCTGGGTGAGAACGAGAAGCCCGATGTGACGTACGCAGATGTCGGTGGTTTGGATATGCAGAAACAGGAGATTCGGGAGGCCGTCGAGCTGCCTTTGACGCATTTCGAACTCTACAAGCAAATTGGTGGGTAGTTATGGAGATCCATTGCGGGTAATGGGTCCGCTAACAAATTTCAGGTATCGACCCTCCTCGTGGTGTCTTGCTCTATGGCCCCCCGGGAACCGGAAAGACCATGCTAGTGAAAGCCGTGGCCAACAGTACAACCGCCAGCTTCATTCGTGTCAACGGATCAGAGTTTGTACAGAAGTATCTAGGAGAGGGACCTCGTATGGTTCGTGACGTCTTCCGGATGGCTCGTGAGAACTCCCCAGCCATCATCTTCATTGACGAAATCGACGCGATCGCCACGAAGCGTTTCGATGCCCAGACTGGTGCCGATCGTGAAGTTCAGCGTATCCTACTGGAGTTGCTTAACCAGATGGACGGTTTCGAACAAACCAGCAACGTCAAGGTCATCATGGCCACCAACCGAGCCGACACCCTGGACCCGGCTTTGCTGCGTCCTGGTCGTCTGGACCGGAAGATCGAGTTCCCGAACCTGCGTGACCGACGTGAGCGCCGATTGATCTTCACAACCATCGCGGCAAGGATGTCACTGTCCCCCGAGGTCGACCTTGACGCCTTGATTGTGCGCAACGACCCGTTGTCTGGTGCTGTCATTGCTGCTATCATGCAGGAGGCTGGTCTGCGGGCCGTCCGCAAGAACCGTTACAATATTATCCAATCCGACCTTGAAGATGCTTATGCCGTCCAGGTGAAGACTGGACAGGATGATGATCGGTACGTTTCTTGTTTGTTTTTGGGGGTTTTCTATGTCACTAACTGGGTTCTTGCAGTCCTGACTTCTACCGGTAAATGCTTGAGTTTCTCGGGGACGTTGGTACAAGTGGTAAAAGCTTGGTTTTCCTCACCAGTTGTATTATCAATAATATGCGCCATGTGTCACAATGTTTGGATTATGTGTTGATCTTACGGTCTCCGTTTAGATTGTAGATGTAGATTGTAAATTACACCCTGCCCGTAGACCACTTGCTTGAAAATGCGTTTCGAATGAATGTTGTTTTAAATACGTTGGAAATTGTTCCCTGTTATTCTTCTATCGAATAACCAATCTGATTGCAGACAGTGTGTATATATTTTAGAAGCGGATAACCCGAAATTCGCGATATATACCTCCACTTACAAACCACCAGAATCTATAATAAAAAGCATTCAAGAAACCAACCACACATAAAGCTTGACACTTGCCACTTATCACTCGAATTAAAAAAGGCCACATAGAACCATATGACAAGGACAAGCATACTAATCGGTACATTCACAATGTGAGCTTGGTTATTTCAATCCGATAATGTTCCTCCCGGTCGCGACTACTACTTTTTGCTTTTTCTTCTTTTGGCCTTCAAAGGTTACATACGTTCTTAGTACGCAACACGTTAGTATAGTTCAATATATATTTACCTATGCTTGTTCCAAGTAGTAGTTATTTCCGATATGTATACGGACATTACGGAGTACTCCGTATGCTAAAAGCCCCATTATAAAGTTTTGTTTACCCGCAGTTGGTAGCTACTACAACATCTGTCGACTAACTAACCACTGTCCTTCATGGGGTTTGTAGAGACCTTGTTCTGATTTGATTTAAATACCACGTTCGAACTAAATATCCCGAGGAGCTTCTTTCAAGGCTGGTTCAACCAATTCAGCAATCCCAATTCAGCAATCTCTTAAAACAGGAGAATCTGAAAATCCCATTTCTTCCGCAGTACGATCCCGAATCCGAATCTATATATTTGCTTCCACGCAGGCCTTCCTCCCACGGTCCTCTGACACCGCAAAGCTTCACCTGGCGGGCGCTGCTAGTCGGACTGCTAGTCGGGATACTGATCAGCCTTTGCAACACTTATTATGGCTTACAAACCGGGGCTGGTGCTCAACTACCTACTGTGTCGGCTCTTCTGGGGTATCTAGCGATTGGAGCACTTGCTAAATTCAACTTTGCACCGCTATCGAAAACTGAAAATGTCCTGATCGTAAGCACTGCCACGGCGACGGGCTGCATGCCCGCTACAGCTGGATTCACCGAGGTCATCCCAGCGCTCGAATATATCCTTGGGCCAAACGAGGGAGGCCCATTCCGACTGGAGTATCTGCAGTTGATAACCTGGTCCCTGGGACTGAGTTTCTTCGGAAGATGATAGCGAAGATATACACTCTTCCAGCATGCTAGCACTCGGTAGGAGACACATGAGCTCAAATAGTGGTTATTTCCCGGTGGTGGGCTTCATTGTGTCAATACTAGCCTGTATCCTTACCACACATTCCGTATTCGGAGACAAAATGCCTTCGTATTACACGGTTGTCTCGATCCTGCTTGTCCTGGCGGTGGCGATGACTGGCATTCGTGGTCTGGCGGAATCCGACTTCAACGCAGGAAGCGGTTTAGGTATGGCCTACTCTGTCAGATTATATCGTCGTCATTCCAGAATATCATCTCTGGCCTGAGATCGACTAATAAATATCTTGTGTGAACAGCTGCCCAGCTGGTTTTGGCCGCCATAATCCCCCGCTCAAACCCTAATAGCGTGATGATCAATATCCTATCTGCTGCAATCGCAAATGGAGGTGCTAACCAGGCCGGCGATCTTGCCTTTGACTTGAAGATAGGGCAACTCATCGGTGCGCCATCAGAAGTCCAGACCTACGGCCAGATAATAGGATCGATTTTCGGCGCGCTTGTCTCTTGCTTCACGTATAGACTGTTCACCAACCGATTCCCGGTTCCAGGAGACTTCATCCAGGTACCAAACTCGTTCCTGCAAGTCAGTACCGCGAGAATGGTCTTGAATAAAGCCTTCCCCCTGGTGTGGGTGGTTACGCCCTGGGCTTTGGAATTTTCCTCGCCATTTCAACAGTGGCCAAGATGAGGTTTCAAGACAATTGGTGGCATGTTTATATTCCTAGCGGAGTTTCCTTTGCCATTGGTAAGCCGTTCTCTCTATTTTGGGAAGACTCTATTTATGTTAATGATGTTAATATCGATTCACAGGCATATCTACTCCGAGTTTTAGGGGGAGTTTTCATGTGGGCATACCTCCGCCGCGTACCATCCAAACGCCTATCCATTGTAGTGTTAGCCAGCGGAATGTTGCTCGGAGAGTCTCTCGGCAGCCTTGGAGAGCTTGTTTTATTCTCAGTGAATGCTCCTCATCTCGGGTGATTGTGGGAGTTTGTGACTTGGCGCAGAAATGTGCATACATATCACAATGTAGCTATAAAATAGGGGATTGTTACGCCTATGTACCTGCAATTTGTATATAAACCACTAACAACATTAAGTCACTTTTATCACAACAACTACTTCATCGTCGACAACTACTTTAATAACTACTTCAACAACAGCTCCAACAACTGCCTCAACAACTGGTCTATCATAATCAAGGGATTAAAACAGAGATAAGTCTGGCAGAATTGAATGGGTGCCTTCTATGTAAGGCGAGGTAGGGTGGTTGAGTTATATCCCCGAGGTCCTCCTTCCAAGGTTAAGCTTCACCTCCTCCTAACCTTTAGGGTGGGCGTACCATCCACGTGATCACATAGCTACCTTAGTCCCGCTGCTGTATACATCATCATTCTTCCCCTGAGCTACTGGCCAGGCTCTAAGGAACATGCCAAAATGGCCGCACACCATCAATCTTCTTTGGAAGATGTATTATGGAAGTGAATCCTACCAGGTTATCCAAGTGATGCCACCGGATATCGTCGCGGATGATTTCGTGCTGCTCTCACTTCCGCCCGGTGGAAACCCAATACCATATGTGTACTGGAACATTGGCGTGACAGAGCCAGAGATGTGGGAGAAGGCAAATAAAGAAGGCAAGTTGCGAGATTTACCTCCAACCCACAGTGCTCTCTATGCGCCAGCAATTGAGCCAATCCTTCAAACCGGAATCGAAGGATTGGCTTTGTCTGCCTTGACATTCCTTGAGATTATTTGATGACATGCAGCACATTACGCCGGTGAAGCAAAAAGTACATGGCATTTAGCATGAGCAGAGAGAAGAATTTAGGATATTATATGTTCATATTTTGTCCCAGGGCCTTCTAGTGTGATTCGTAGAATTCATCTTTCCTATTCCGTATATGCCTGATAACACATCAAAACACATCAGAACTAGAGTAATACCCATTTAATAATGCTGTTCAGCGTTTCAATTCTTAATATACATCGGAAGAATTTTTTTTATATTAATCTCCAGCCTTATACTTCGTCCCCACACCGCTGGGAAGCTCTATTAGCTATAATCCTAAGCCAGCCGCTTGATATGAACTGCCCAATACGTTAGACTTCAATACCGTTAGCACTAGAATCCTGACAGAAGCTGACGAGTTGAGCTAAAGACCACAGAGATGGTAAAGCTTAGTGTTCTGCATTAATAGAAAAAGGCCCCATCGGCAGAGCACAGACAGAGCACAGACAAAGACAGGGCGAACGGAGAAGCGGGTTAACGAAAAAGGGAGAAGTCATAGGGCGACGAGGACTTTATAGAAATAGGCACGGGGAAGGCTATGGGCGCTACACCGCATCGTGCAATTCACCGTCACCAGAGACTACGTAGCATTCACTCATTGGAGTTGGCAGTAAGGCAGCCCTTAAGCATCAAAAGGGCACGCGCTCCCTTGAAAGGCACTAACTAAGTGGAGTATTTCTAGACAGTTTCGGCCCCTGGACTAGATAGTATAGACATATGCTGAGCTACAACAATACCCCGTACACTCTAAAGATTGATGGCTGTATCACAGCAGGGCACGAGAGCTTGCTGTAGAACAATAACATCTGAGCGTAGCCTTTTGCCACATCGACCGTCCTGCAGCTGCCAGGTACGCGGGAGGAGTGTCTTCCGACCAGTCCGACCACGGCGCTAACTGCGCCCAGGCACCAGCTAAACACCTCCCCTGCTCAGGACTGATTTTATATGTTGTACGGAGTATAGTCTAGAGGAGTCATAGTAACGTGGCGAAGAGATGGGTCTAAGAAACAAGAAACGAGAAACATTCTTCGTACAAGTTAGGAGGGCAATCTTCCGCCATGTCATGAGTCCATCGCCAAAAGGGGGTTAGTGTGACCCTCCCGCTTCCGTCATCGTCTCTCCAGCCTCCACTCCCCCATCTACCATCTCATCTACCCTTATCTCCTCCTTCCTTCCCATCTTCAAGTCATTCTCTTCTTTGCATCCAACATCTACAGCTTTCTTTTCTCATCTTGAATGATGAAGTCATTCACTATCCTAGCAGCTTCGGCGTTGCTGGGCAGTGCTGCCGCCGAGGTTCACAAGCTCAAGCTCAACAAGGTCCCTCTGTCGGAGCAACTGGTACGATCATCCCATCATCCCTATTGCCTTCACAATACCCTGGAAGCTGATCGATTGATAGGACACACACAACATCGATGCTCATATGCACAACTTGGGCCAGAAGTACATGGGAATTCGTCCCGAGAAGCACCAGGACCTGTTCCATGACACTTCCCTGAACCCTGCCAGTGGCCACAACGTGCTGGTTGACAACTTCCTGAATGCTCAGTGTACGATAGTACCACCAAAATTTAGGTCCTGAATGATGACGCTGACCTTTCCAGACTTCTCCGAGATCACGATCGGTACTCCTCCCCAGACCTTCAAGGTTGTGCTTGACACCGGTAGCTCCAACCTGTGGGTCCCTTCTTCGCAGTGCAGCTCTATCGCCTGCTTCCTTCATAGCAAGTATGACTCGTCTTCTTCGAGCACCTATCAGAAGAATGGCTCCGAGTTCGAGATTCGCTATGGATCTGGCAGCCTGAGCGGCTTCGTGTCTAAGGACACCCTCCAGATTGGTGACTTGAAGATCGAGGGACAGGACTTCGCCGAAGCTACCAATGAGCCTGGTCTGGCTTTTGCCTTCGGTCGCTTTGATGGTATTCTTGGCCTCGGCTATGATACCATTTCCGTCAACAAGATGGTCCCTCCCTTCTACCACATGATCAACCAGAAGCTGGTTGATGAGCCTGTGTTTGCTTTCTACCTTGGCGATGCCGACAAGGATGGTGACAACTCCGAGGCTACTTTTGGTGGTATCGACGAGAGCCACTACACTGGCGAGCTGATCAAGATCCCTCTTCGTCGCAAGGCGTACTGGGAGGTCGAGCTCAACTCCATTGCCCTTGGCGATAACGTTGCTGAACTTGAGAACACCGGTGTCATTCTGGACACTGGTACCTCTCTCATTGCCCTGCCCTCCACCATGGCCGAGCTTCTGTAAGTTGGATTCTCGCTTGCCTTCGTAATGTAATCTGTTTGCTGACCTATTCCACAGGAACAAGGAGATCGGTGCCACCAAGGGCTTTACTGGTCAGTACAGTGTCGAGTGCGACAAGCGGGACTCGTTGCCCGACCTCACCTTCACTCTGGGCGGCCACAAGTTCACTATTGGCCCCCACGACTACATCCTGGAGGTCCAGGGCTCCTGCATCAGCAGCTTCATGGGCATGGACTTCCCCGAGCCTGTGGGTCCCCTTGCTATTTTGGGCGATGCCTTCCTGCGCCGCTGGTACAGTGTCTATGATGTCGGTAACAACGCCGTCGGTCTGGCCAAGGCCAAATAAATGCCCGACGGCCGGTGAGCTGTGAATATCAGAGAACCAGGTGACACAAGGAGATTGCTTCGTATATACATGTCGCTTCTGAGTTGAACGTATGGTTTCATAGCGCACTTCATTCGCCTATTGCTAAGTAGCATGTTGATTAGGGTTTTTGTTTTTGATCGCTGGCACAGCCCCTTCGTTAAGGCCTGTCGCTCATTGGTACTGCAAATGGATATCTTTATTGGTTAAGATCTACTTATTGCATCTCATTCTTCTATCGAAGAGTCTTCCCTCGTAGTGGCCTTGGTTCAGCTGGATCCCTCGATAAATTCCTAGATGTAAGAACTTGAGTTGGCAATTGGTTGGAGCTAATGCTGGTTAAGCATCAATCCACAGTCAAATTTCTAATACGTACAGTCGGAGAAAATTAGTAGTATGTCACTACGACTTAGAATATGAATAAAAATATGTCGAGGGCTATTTGATCAAGCCATCATATCATACCATTCAGAAAAATAAGATACTTGGACTAAAGTAGATCGCGCGCCAATTAATACGAGGAGGTACCGGCTTTCAAGTACTGGTATGACATAAGCGGAAGTAGCTCTCAACCTGGATCGAGTGAGTCCCCGCACAACTTCAATGAGCTTCCCTTTTCTTTGATCGAAGTCCACATTCCTCCTTCAATCTTCTCCGCCCTTTCAAATTCAAGCGACTTAATTCGCCTGGTGTGTGATTTGCCTCGGACCTCCGCGCCAGGTTGTGCTAGGCGCACGGTTTTCTTTTCCCATCCGCGCTTGGAGTGGCGATTCTCATTGCGCTGCCGAAACCACCATTCACATCTATTTATTCCTCTGATCGATCTTGGAATACTGAGTCATAGGCTGGAATACCATCATCGGAACCCGATATTATCCAGCTCAACACGCGTTGCGTGTCGGTGATGGCGTCGTAGCCGGAACCGCACGCGATCACTCCATTCGGCCCACACGTCCTTGACGCGCGCTGTCAACATAACAAGGACACAGAATACATTTTGGGGAACTGAGCATTAGTACATTACATCGCCTGGGGGCGAACGAAGAGCAACGATGCTTCTCCGTCTGCCCACCGGCCTACATTACCCGATCACCGTGACGTCGCTGCTCAAACAGCCTGGCGACACGATTGAGAAGGATGGGGCTTTGTTTTGGTATACTTACCAGACTACCGTCACCGAGGGTGATGGACTGGGCAACAACATCGAGGTGAAACGTAGGTTCCCGGCTAGATTTGAATCGACTATTGATGGAGAGATCGTTAAATGGCAAATCCAAAAGGGAGACGTTATTGATGAACCGTGAGTATACCGACCCTTGTCTTTTGCTATCCTTTTCTAATTTGTTGCTAGGGTCAATGTTGTCGAAATCGATGAGCCTTGCGCGCACGAGATTCAGTTTGGAGGACTTTGTGCCGAGTGCGGGAAGGACATGACTGAGTATGTATAAGCCTTTCAGCGGGAATTGAGCTTTTCTAACCTGTCTCGTGAACAGATCTACGTACAATACCGAAATCACAGATTCCATGCGCGCTCCAATCTCCATGGCTCATGATAACCTCACACTTACGGTCAGCAAAGGGGAAGCAGCTCGAGTCGAAGAAGATGCGAAACGCCGGTTACTTGCATCGAGGCGTTTGACCTTGGTGGTGGATCTTGATCAAACTATTATCCATGCCACTGTTGATCCGACAGTGGGGGAATGGAGAGAAGATAAGCAAAATCCGAACCACGAAGCTGTGCGGGATGTGCGACAATTTCAATTGATCGACGATGGACCTGGGATGCGTGGATGCTGGTATTACATCAAGCTGCGGCCAGGACTAGAGGAGTTCCTGCAAAATGTGGCTGAGATTTATGAGCTGCACATCTACACTATGGGTACTCGTGCTTATGCCCAACATATTGTTGATATCATTGATCCCACCCGCAAGCTCTTCGGAGATCGAATTCTTAGTCGAGACGAGAGCGGAAGTTTGACGGTTAAGGACCTGCAACGGCTGTTCCCAGTGGACACAAAGATGGTGGTAATCATTGATGATCGTGGTGATATCTGGCGGTGGAGTCCCAATCTTATCAAGGTCTCACCTTATGACTTTTTCGTCGGAATTGGTGATATCAATTCTAGTTTCCTCCCAAAGAAGGAAGATATTGGAGCGAACAAGCCTCAGATCGAAGCGAAGGCACCGGAGCAGACCAATGAACACCACGTCAATGGCAAAACGCAAGAAGGGGCCCAGGTATCAGCATTAGAACAGCTGGTGACCATGGGTGGTGGAGACAGCCCAAGGCTCCTCCAGGAACAGACCGATGCACAAGAAGAGACAATATTGCATCAGGTG